TAATTATATAATGACCTTTTTTTTAACTCCTTAACCATTTTTTTAATCCTTCACCTGAGGATATGTTTCTATTGATTTTAGAGAGAGAGGAAAGGAGATAGAGAAACATCAATGTGAGAGAGAAACATTGATCAGTTGCCTCCTGTATGAGGTTTGAAACTGCAACCTAGGTATTTGTCCTGACAGAGAATCAAACTGGGATTCTTTTGATGTAGAGGGTGATGCTACAACCAACTGAACCACCTGGCCAGGGCTCTTCTTAAACATTTGACTTAAAGTCTATTTTGTCTGATATAAGTATTGCCCCGTTTTGGTTTCCCCTTGCATGGAATATCTTTTTTCCATTCCTTGACTTTGAACCTATGTGTGTCCTTAAATATAAAGTGAGTCTCTTGTAGGCAGCATATAGTTGGCCCTTGCTTTGTTATCCATCCTGTATCTTTAGATTAAAGAATTGAATCAATTTACATTTCGAGTAAATATTGATAGGTAAGAACTTACTAATGCCATCTTACTCATTGTTCTCTGGCTGTTTTGTAGTTCCCTTGTTCCTTTCTTTCTCTCTTGCTGTCTTCCTTAGTGAGCTGATGATACTCTGTAGTGGTACACTTTGATTCTCTTCTTTTCATTTTGTGATGCTACTGTGGGTTTTTGCTTTGTGGTTACCAAGAGGCTTACATAAAACATTTTACAGATATAACAGTGTATTTTACACTGATAACGACTTCAGTTTCATACAAAAACCTTTTATATCCCCTTTTTTATTTTGATGTCATGATTTACCTTTTATATTGTGTAGTTTTTAAAATATTATTATTGTTATACTTATGTTTAATACTCTTGTCCTTTAATTTTAGAGTTAGATGATTAACACATCATTCTATTACAGTATTAGAGTATTCTGAATCTGACCTTATACTTAGCTTTACCAGTTGTCTATTTCCATAAGTTCTAATGTTACTAATTAGCATCCTTCCAGTTTAGCTTGCAGAACTCCTTTCATTATTTCTTGTAAGGCAGGTCTAGTGGTGATGAACACCCTCAGCTTTTGTTCTTTATTTCTCTTTTCATTTCTGAAGGACAACTTTGCCAAACTGAAATTTCTTGGTTGGCAGTGTTTTTTTTTTTTTTTCTTTCTCTCAGCACTTTAAATATATCATCCCACCATCTCCTGGCCTTTAAGTTTTCTGCTGAGAAATCCACTGACAGTTTTATGGGAGTTGTCTTGTTAAGTTATACACATTTCCCCCATTTGCCACTTTTATGGTTCCTTGTCTTTAATTTTCAACAGTTTTATTATAATGTGTGCTGGAAAGGAGCTCTGTAAGTTGATTTTGTTTGGTGACTTATGAGCTTCATGAACTTGGATATCCAAATCTCCCGCCATGTTTTGGAAATTGTCAGCCATTAAAAAAAGCAAAACATAAAAAACAATCACCTTTCTGCCCTCTCTTCTTCTGCTCTTCTCCTTCTGGAACTCCAATAATTCACAAATTGGTTCTTTTGATGGTATTCCATAAATCACATAGGCTTTCTTGACTATTTTCCATTCTTTTTCTTTTGTTCTCAAGTTTCTGTCTTCTGACTGATCTTTTCTGCTATTGATGCTATTACATTTTTCATTTCATTCATTGTGCTCCTCAGCTCTACAATATCTGTTTTTAAAAATATATATATTTTCTCTTTGTTAAACTCATTTTTTCCCGATTTTGCTGAATCATCTTCCTTTTGTTGTACCTCATGGAGTTTCCTTAAAATAGCTATTTTTAATTATTTATCAAACAAATCACATGTCTCCATGTCTTGAGGTTGGATACTGAAAGATTACTGTGATCCTTAGGTGGTATCATGTGTCCTTGATTTATTATATTCCTTAAAGTTTTACATTTTTGTTGATCCATTTGAAGTAACAGTCATCTCCTCCAGTTATTTTATTTTATTTATTTATTATTTTTATCCTCACCTAAGGACATTTTTTGATATTTTGTTCAGACAGAGTGGGAGGGAGAGAGAGAGAAATATTAAAGTGAAAGGGGCACATCGAGTGATCACTACCTGCATGACCCAATCAGGGCCGGGGAAAAACCACAACCAAGGTACGTGCCCTTAGTGGGAACCAAACCCGGGTCTCTCCAGACCACAAGCCAATGCTCTAACCACTAAGCCAAACCAGCCAGGGCACCTCCAGTTATTATTAACAGGCTTCAGGAGAGAAATATTTTCCATCATCCTACTAATGATTATGAGGGTTTCTCAGACCTATGGATACACCTGGTCTACACTTCTTGCTCCTTCTTGTGGCAGAATCCTCAAGCTTGTATGCCTTCTCTTGACCCACTATGCACCAGGCCATATACTGACTGTTTCCCTTTTATTTTGCCAAATGTGGCACTAAATCTGAAGTTTTTGGTCTCTCCTTGGCCTGCAGACTTGGGACAGCCTCCTGTGACTGCTCAAGATCTGTCAGATCTTGCTCTTGCTACTGTCATTGGGAGCATACACAGAGATCCAGCCGCAGGGTCAGAGATGTGTATGGGTGAGGCACACTGAGCAGTAGGGGTACCCCCATGGGTCAATTGGGGAGATCTGCAGGTGAGGTGTTCTCAGCAGCTTGTGGGTGGGCTTCCTGATAAAGTCCACAATGAGTTAGTAGGCGCCACGTACCTTTAATGCCCTAAGAGTCCTATCTGCCACTCGCCCAGGTTTTTCCTGCCCCTCCCAGTCATACAGCTCACAATTCAGTACTCTAGATGGGGTGAGAGAGAAATGAGCTTCTTTAGCAATGTCTCCCATAGCCGGAGAGGCCAGTGCTCACTTATACCCTAGCACTTTCCCCCATGAAAGAAATCACAGGCTGAATTCTCTTGGCTCTAAGCTGTGTCATCTTAGGGGAGGAGTGGTGCAAGTGACGTCGAGCTGTTCCTCTTACCTTCTCCAGAGCATCAATGCTCTCTCTCTCTTTTTTTCCCCTCCAGTGATATCCTGAAACTTATTCTGAAATTTGGACTTCTACAAACACTTTCATCCATGGGTGTTTCTGTAAGACTGAATTCCAGAGGCTCCTAGAGCTGGGCCAAGAGGGGCTGAAGAGAGTTCATAAGATACTACAGGGTCCACAGCCAGGACCGAGGTCTGTATGCCAAATACCTAACACACATTGGGCAAGACTCCTCTCAGGTTCTTCTGCGTATGATGCTGGATCCCACAATTCCCCTGAAGGCACTTTTGTCTGTGGAGGATGCCCAATTATTGTTGAGGGAAAAACAAGGGATGTCTTATTCCATCACTAGTTTGATGTTATTTCTAAAGGGTATGTTGTTATAATCTGCATTTTTTTGAGATTGTGCATATTTTTTTGTCATGTATTTCTTTTTTGGATATTACTTGACCATGTTCTTTGTCCATTTTTCCTTGGAAGTGATAGCATTTTTTCCTTTTAGAATTCTTCGTGTATATAGCCCTGGCTGGTTTTGCTTAGTGGTTAGAGCACCAAAGGATAATAGGTTCGATTCCTGGTCAAGGGCACATACCTGGGTTGCAGGTTTGATTCCCAATCCAGGCAGGGTGCTTGCAGAAGGCAAACAATTGAAGTCTCTCTCTCTCACATCGATGTTTCCCCCCTCCCTCACTCTCTCTAAAAATCAATGGAAAAAATATCTTTGGGTGAAGATTAACAAAAAAATTCTTCATATATTAAGGATATCAACTATTTATAAAATATGGCAAATACTGCTCTCAGATTCTGCTCTTCAATCTTGTTTATAATGCTTTTTGGCTATATATATTTTTGTAGTCAGAGTATCATTCTTTGTGATATTTTCTTTTTTTCATCATGTTTGCGTGACAATGTATTCAAACTTATGTGACATTTTATTTTATTTCATTTTCATTTTTTTTTCCGGGGGGGGAGGGGGGAGAGAAACATCGATTGGATTGCCTCCTGTATGTGCCCTCAACAGAGATCAAACTTGCAACTTAGATATGTGCCCAGACTGGGAATTGAACCAGCAACCTTTTGGTGCATAGGACGACACTCCAACTAACTGAACCACACTGGCCAGGGCTCATGCAACATTTTAAACATCTGCCACTAAAAAGACCAACTTTAGGAGAGACCAATTACTAAGAAGAGTGATTCATTCTTGAAACAGAAAGAGAGTAATTGTATTTGTTTAAAGTACAAAAATATTAACATCCTGTAAGAGTCCTTCATAAGAGTAATGTACACTATTTAATGTACATCGGAGTATATGCATCACTACTGTGCATCCTCTGCTCCACCCCAAGCCTCAAGATCTTTTGTACTGATCAGTGTGGTTAGCTTGAGAGCCATCATTATGTGGAAATGCAAGAAACAGCAGGGCCAATTACAAGAAGAGTGGAGGTAGATGGTTCTTTAGGACCCAATGTGAAAAGACATGTAGAATAGAAATTATTTACACTATTTAACCATTCTCACAAAAATTAATGGGAGTTCTTAAAGGAGTCCTTTTTAAAAATGCAAATAGGGTCTTCAATATTCCAACTGGAAGGAATATGTTTACAGGTATTTTAGACAAGATGACTCCAGTCATATAAAAGTTTAGTTTTATTATAGGCACTTTATGCAAACATTCAGTACTTTTTGCTTGTTATAATACTTTTAGCAAGGCAGTCAGTTACAGTTCAAATAAGAAAATATAAACAAAAGTTACACATTTTTTTTTAACAAAATCTACTTTGAATTATTACATAAATCTCTAATGCAATTAAAAACATTATTTTATTCCATGTGATGATGTTTCTTCCAACTCCTTTAATCATAAGTCTCAAAGACTCTTAACTTGGTGGAATGATCTTGTGTCAGAAAATATTAAACAGGTAACTCTACATAGTTTTTCCAGTAAGCGCTCACTTTTTAACTTTGATTAAATGCCATATTTTAACACAAACATTAGAAAATATTTATCAGCATATCTGGTCCCAGTTCACTAACGCTTGGCCCCAGCCTGGACGCTGACCATGGAAAAGTAGACGCCTTTCTGTGCAAGCAGCTGTTGATGGGTGCCGTGCTCCCTGACCTTGCCGTTCTGAACCACCACTATCAAGTCTGCGTTCTGGATGGTGGACAGGCGGTGAGCAATCACAATGCAGGTGCGGCCTTCCCTGGCTTTGTCCAGGGCTTCTTGGACGACCTATTCAATAATCACATAAATTAATTCTGATGAAAACAGTCCTCTCCCTTTAATTGCTCTTCCATAATAATCCTCAAAATTAATTTGTCCAACAACAGGTCCTTCTTCAACAATGGTATAACAGATTTCACAAAGCAAACAATTTGGCATATTGGAAGATAACTGAATCTCAGTTTGGATTAGTGCTGAGGCATGAGTTATCTATTATCCAAGTTATGACAAGAAATACCCCCCTGCCAATCATTTAGAAACATTTCCTGGTGTGCCTAGCCCCGCACCGTCCTTCAGAGCAGCCCTGGTCCAGCTCTACGGGAAATTTGGGAAGACTGAGCACAAAGACAGCTTCCTTGAATTTTGGTGGTTTTAAGATAGGTAGGAAACACCTCAGAATTAATTCGTCTTTCAGATGCCTGAATGCTCAACTTTTTCTAGAACTGAAAATGATCAGATATTTATCTTAAGGTACCATCAGTTTCCAACACTGTAGTGCCCCCCCCCACTGTTTTGCATAGTTACTGAGGAAATGCTGCCATAGAAATGGAAGCATGCCTCCTGAATGCAGCTTCTGAGGGCAATACAAAGCGATGCAGGGCTGTTTTGCAGAGCAGGGTGCTATGAGACTCATCTGCCAGGTCTTATCTTAGTTCTCTTTAATAACAGGTACAGAAAGGTGGTATCAGTAACAGCAGCATAGGTGGCTGAATTTTGTTCTCTACTGTGGAAGTTAGAAGCATAAATTATATCTTAAGTACAACTGATTCAAGTGTGAAGAAATCCAATTTAATTCTTACCTTTTCACTTTCTGTATCCAGAGCTGATGTAGCTTCATCCAGAAGCAAAATACGAGGCTGTCTAACGAGGGCACGTGCTATGGCGATGCGCTGTTTCTGGCCACCAGAGAGCTGAGTTCCTTTGTCTCCTACTCTGGTGTTGTATTTCTGTAAACAGGGTTGAGTTATTGTGAAAAGTAGAACTAAGATTCTAGAAAAGAGTTTGCTTACAAAAAATAGGATAACCACTTCCCTATATACAAATAACATTTAGATTCAGAATAGGAACGGGTTCATAGAGAATTCAACACAGACATAGTTCTAAAGAGCAGGTTTGATCTCTCTTCCTGAAAATAGACAAATTGTGTCTTAAAAGTTACGTTGTAGTATAAACAAGCCAGCATGTTTAGGAGGAAGAATACTGTCACAATGTTATTCTCTTCCAGTCTCCTGATTTCATTATATTTGGGACACAGATTGGTAGGAGGAGGGAAATTTGATTGGAACAGGCTATGCATAAAATAATTGAAGCTCATTTTATTTATAACCAGCAGGTGACACTCTCCACATTATTTAAAAGTAAGGAAGGGAAGACATTCATGGGACGTTAGCCTTTTGGTATCTGTTTTTATAAAACTATCTCCAATGTTTCAACAATTCTAATGGATGCTTAGGAATTCTATTTTGATATCTAATTTTGAAAGCTGAAGTCTCCTTTTATTTTTGTTTCTAGAGTTCTCCCCAAAATTTTCACATACTTGTTGTCCACATTAGATAACTGTCACTATTCAGTATGATGATAAGGACAGGAGTTAGGAGGGGATGGAGGGAGAGCCCAAATGGGATGTGACAGCATGTGTAACCTAGAAAACATACCATCTTATTATTGACAGGCCCTTGCCAGGCTAAAATTTCAGTCAGACTGTAGGCTCTGATTCTGACACCCAGAATTTATAAAGTTCATGTTCCACAGAGCGTTCCCAATTTTTATTTGCAGTAACTGGCAACCCTAGTTCTGTGGCGCTGAGACCCCAAGGACTCCACTTGCAGCTGGAAGAAGAAGACTTCAGGTGAGGTCCAGCAGATGCTGGGGGCTGGCTCTACCCCAGGGCTAGATCTGCCTGGGAGGCAGGAGCATGGTGCCCCATGTGAGTGTGGGGTGACCAGGCTGCACTGATAAAGTAATGAGCCCACTGAGGCAGGTAAAGGCAGTGCTGTCACCCTGAAGGAAGGACCAGCCTTCTGCAGGGTGAGGTAAATCCTAGTACAAATCACTCAGGAGAAGAAGTGGCTCCTTAGACAGAAAACAGGACTTAAGGATCTGCCTTCTCCTTCCTTGTCTGAGAAAAAGAGTCAAAGGTCTACAGGCGTGCTCTGTGTGACAGATGGATACCGGGAAGAAGGTAACTAGACCACAAAGATGGGGTGCCGGTGACAGACAAATGACAGAGGGGCAAGGGATATTAATAAACAAGGTAATAGTTACTCTCTGTGTTTGTCTTTTTCAACCCCTTGCCCAGTGGTTCCCAAACTTGAGCTGCGTCAGTATCATGTGGACTACTAAAACATGGATGCCGAACTACACCTCCAAAGTTTCTGATTCAGCAGGTCTGGGGTAGGGTCTGAAAATCCGCGTTTCTTACAAGTTCCCAAGGGATGCTGAGGTGTTGGTCCATGCCCATACGTTGAGAACACTGTTCTTGTCATTAGTAAGGGGGACTGAAACTATATTTTAAAATATGCTAGCCTTGCCCTGGCCGGTTTGGCTCAGCGGTTAGAGTGTCGGGTGTTGGCCTGCAGACCAGAGAGTCCCAGGTTCGGTTCCCACTAAGGGCATGTACCTCGGGTGCAGTTTATCTCCAGCCCCGGTTGGGGTTGTGTAGGTGGCAACCACTCGATGTGTCTCTCTCACATCGATGTTACTCTCTCTCTCTTCCTCCCTCTCTCCTTCCAGCTCTATCTGAAAATAAATGCAAAAATGTCCTTAGGTGAGGATAAAATATACTAGCCTTGGAAAGGGCCAATTATTCACAGTTGGGCTGGAAGGTGAAAGGCTGGGAGGGGGACAATGTCCCCTCCTGGGGCCGATGATGTGGCAGCAAGTATCCAAAGAAGAGCCTCAGGAGAAGAAAAACTCGGGAAAGAGGGCCACCTGGTATTGCCATCCTTCCCCATGAGGAGACTGCCTTCCCTGCTAGTTTGAGGCTACTGAGTTTTCCTTCTTAGGGGGTACTTCCTTATGATAAAGAATGTAACTGGTGCCCTGGCTGTTTTGGCTCAGTGGTTAGAGCATCAGCCTGTGGTCCAGAGAGACCTGCGTTCAATTCCCCCTAAGGGCACATATCTCGGCTGCAGTTTGTCTCCGGCCCTGGTTGGGTTGTGCGGGTGGCAGCCACTCGATGTGTTTCTCTCTTTCTTTCTTCCTCTCTCTCCCTCCTACTCTATCTGAACAAAAAAATGGAAAAATGTCCTCGGGTGAGGATTTAAAAAAATAAATAAAATAAGAACGTAACTGGTGATAACTGAGAGAGGAGGGTTAGATGAATTACGTCAAAATACGCTTTTAAAATGCAGGACTTATGGGGCTTAAAGAGGGTGAGAAGTTCTGTTTATCTAAGTTCCCAGGAGGAATTCAGAAGACAGCCATGGAACAACAGCCCAGGGGAAGTTGCAATAAGCAACCCTATAAGTAGAGCTTGGGGCTCGTGAAATGTGCAGGGATGACACAACATCACTGTCGCCCCAATGGTTCAGCCCATTCAGAGAGTCTTCTTTCTGGCATGAGTCCTATTCCCTGGCCTGACTCAACAGGGAGGTTTGAGGCTTGGGGAAGTGCTGCAAAGAGGGAGAGGGAAGGCTGGGAGAGGCATGGGGAGGGAGGGTCATGCCTGGTTCTGCAGGCCCCACACTTAACGACTTGAAGGGAAAGGTCTCCCAGACATAGGCACTGTCAGGCTTGTTCACAGGGAAAGTCAGTTGGGTGATTTGGTAAATGTAACATCAAATGAGGATAACAAGTATGGCCAGATGCTTGTATACAGGTGTCTGTGTGTGTGCGTGCACGTGTGTGTGTGTTATGGTTGCATATTTTTCTTCACCTTGGGGAAGCCAGCCCTCTGGAAATCAAACTATAGGTCTGGGAGGCTGCCACAGGCTCCTGGACTCCTACTTTGCAGGGAGACTTACGTCAGGCAACGTCTCAATGAAGTTGTGTATGTTGGCCTCCTGGGCGGCCCGCACAATCTCTTCCTGTGACACGACCCGGCTGTTGTCTCCGTAGGCAATGTTCTCACCGATGCTGCAGTCAAACAGGATGGGCTCCTGGGACACAATGCCCAGCTGTGCTCGGAGCCACTGGACATTCAGCTGCTTTATTTCTTTGCTGTCAATGAGCTGAAAACCATAGTTCACAGATCAACTTCATGACCAGCACACTCTGAATTTAGCAAAATTAATATCATTACTTCACATTAAAATTGCCTAATTACCATGAGACTACATTTTTGTTGTTTTGGATTATCAAGGATAATAAGGTCATAATTATATACTTTGAGGAACTGTCATGTGTCTTCCGTTTAACCCTAGAATTTGATATATGCATGTGGTAGTAAAATAATGCTCCCCACACACTCCCTAGACACTTATGTTCTAACCCATGAAACCTGTGAATGTCATGTTACATGTCAAAGGGGGATTGTAGAAGGCTGCTCATCAGCTGATCTCAATATGAAGAGATTACCCTGTATTATCCAGGTGGGCCCAATGCAACCATAGGGTCCTTACATATGAAGACGAGGCAGGAGAGTGAGTGTCAGAGGGGTCCAATAGGACAGACTCAATCAGTCACTGCTGGCTTTGAAGGAGAAAGGAGCCAGGAGCTAGAGAAGGTCAGCAACAGATTCTCACTTAGAGCCTCCAGAAGGAACCCAGCCCTGCTGACCAACTCGATCTTAGCCCCATGAGACCCATTTTGGACATCTGACCTCCAGAATTTGTAAGATGATGAATGTATGTTGCTTTTACACCACCAAATTTGCTGAATTGATACAGCAGCCACAGGAAACTAACACAACACATTATGTTTCTGGAATGTTTCCTGGCATCCTTGTTCTTTTGTAACAATTTTTCATAGGAAATATAGCTGAGATCAGATTGGAAATAAATAACTACTATGACTACATAATAGGTTTGCAGGTCAGGCTCTGCTCTGCCTGAGTTGGTTAGGAGCAGGTGTTTGAGGAATGGGCTGCAGCAGTTGGATGGAACAGAAGTGAGTGTGGGAGGAGGGTGACTGCTATACTCAGTAGTTGTTGATGCTGGAAAAGTGATTTAATTTCTTGAGAGTTTCCTTGTGGGTAAAATGGAAATTGTAATCATTCCTAAACTCATGGAATTAAGGACTAAACAAGATCATGTATGCACCTCAGTTAGCGTAGTTGCTGGACAGAGCAGGCACCCGAAGGACTGCCAGCAATTTGTATCTCTGTGTGTGTGCTGTACCTGGAACTACAGAGGATGGGTAGATGGTTGATGGAGGAAAGAATGGATGGACATCTACAATGTTGAGCCAAAGGAGTAGGAAAGGGAGGTTGGCCTTTCTCTAGTCACTTGGCTCCTTGAATTATGCCGCAGAAGCCCAGAGTGGTGTCCCTTAGAGCCTTGCTGATAAAAATCCTTCCACTCTGATGTGAGTATATCTGCTCAAAAGATCTACTTTGCAGGAGAATTCTGGCATTCAAGGGAGAGCTATTCATCCTCTCAGAAGAAGACATGAGCGATTCGGCTTCAAGCTTTTCTAATAGCAGTGATGAGTATATACCGAGAGCCGTACATACTCCCTGTATCCTATGTGCCTGGCTGGGCGCCTCTGGGAGACAGCTGGCCAGGGCTAGGGTACAAGCTCTGCTGCAGGAAGACAGCTTCTGTTTGCAAAGCTTGCAGATGCAGAATGGAAAACAGCTGTGACCTTATTGGTACCAAGCCCAGTTGCCATGGAGACTATTCCAAGCATCTATGCCCCAGGCTTCCTTCCAGTGTGAAGTGAAGGTGGAGAGGGTGGAGAGAGGCAGGAAAAACCATACAAATGTGTGGTGAAATAGCAGACCTTGTTAAATGGAACACTGTGCTTGAGAAATGGAAATCTGAGGAAAGAAGGAGTGGTTATGTGTTTTTTAATTTTTTTTCTCAGTTGCATGTTAGGAAAACAGACACTGCCTATTACAATCAGACAAATGTGAATGATCCCAGCAAGTTTAAATTAGTTTCTCCAACACACTGAATACAATAACACTCTTGGGCCTCCTCATCCCCACACGATACAGCAGAGTTGCAAACTATTTAAAATGTGTGTTAGCTGAAGAATCCTTTTTTAGAGAAATCGTGTTTAGAAGCCCAAATGTAAAATGAACAAATGCAGAACTTCTTTGCCTGGGGTCTCTGCTGGTGGCCTGAGGGAAGACCAAGGAACTCTGGGAAATCAGCAAGCACTGTTCAAAAGATAAGGGCCTCAGTGAAAAGTTAACTAGGAAATTAAACACAGTGGTAATAATGATGTAAGGCCAAATTAAAATGACAAGCTATCTCTATTCTAGATTGTAAAATCTACAGCTTTCTTTCATTAGCACAAATAATTAAATCTTAAATATGTATTATTCTGCTATCTGTATTTACTCTGAAATAATAATTACAGATAAAATACTGACTATATTATAGGTCCTGTGATGAGCAGTCTTATGAATTCTTGTTTGATCGTCACACCAATCTTTGTGAAGCAAGGGTAATTTTAATCCCCATTTCATAGGCCAGGAAATGAGCAAAGTTACATGACCTGTGCAAGGTCACACAGTTAGTAATTGGGGGAGCTAGGATTGGATGTACATACTACTACAGGTTGGGTTTTGTAACACAAGTGTCTAATAATTGAAAGATATTTTCTGTCCAGCCTCAAAAGAGGAATGCCCCTGCCTGGCCAGTGTGGCTCAGTGGACTGAGAATTGTCCTATGGACTGAGAGGTCCTGGTTCGATTCCCAGTCAGGGCACATGCCTGGGTTTCAGGCGAAATCCCTGGTGGGGGCGTGCAGGAGGTAGTCTGTCTGTCTGTCTGTCTATCTATCTATCTATCTATCTATCTACCTACCTACCTACCTACCTACCTACATATATGCATACACACACACACACAGAGGAATGCCCCTATCTTAGCCCAGCCACTCACTGGATAATACCCACACAATGACAACAGGCTTCTAACTGTATCCTACGAGGGACAGAGGATGCAGACGGTGGTGTGTGAGATGGACCAGAGAGGGGAGAAAGAAAAGGTCAGGGGAAGACTCAAACTAGAGTCAATTTACACAGTGAAGCTAATGAACTTAAGCTTCAAAGGCCTCAACTGCAGGTAAATGCTGGGTCTTGAGCAGAGTTCTGGGTGGGAGGAAGGCCAGGCTGTAGTCAGGAAGCTTTTCCAGGGAAGCACTTGTATTTATGATAACTTGCTAAAGAAAGAACTAGAATCCTTGTTTTCAAAATCTGGAAGGCAGAGGCCAATTCTTGTTAGCAGCAGCGGTAAGCTAACACAGGTTCCAGCAGACGGAAGTTTCTGCAAAAGCAAATATTCCCTTTTGTACCTAATTTTGTATTCTTTTAAGTAGAGTCCATAAAATCATATAACCTTCAGGTTCCACAAAACTTGGAACCTCCCCTCTGCACAATTCCATAGGTTCATTTTTCAACCCTCTCGACAATTTAACCTAAACCTTTTAAATGTGTCAGTTTAGTGGTTCTCAAACTATAATTGGCACCAGAATCACCTGGGAAAATTGTAAAAAGTAACAAGCCAGGCCCTAACCTACTTGAATGAGCCAGGGAGGCGGTGTTCTTCATGAGCTCTCTAAACCATTCTGCTATACAGTACACCAGTTTGAGAACCACTGCTCAGGTCATTTCTCAAAATATGATTCAATGCCCACGGATGGTCATGAGAATTTCCTGAGCTCAAGGTCAAGTCCTTTCTTCAGTTCTTACAATGAAATGATGTTCAAATCCACATACTCATTTTTACATGGTAATGGGATCTAATCACTAGTAACCTACAGAGTTATTAAGGGTTACTAATTGATATGCATAAACAAACCTTGGCACATTTACTAGTGTTTATTGGTGACACTTCCACTAGGTCTGGCTCCTATGCACTACTTGGCAGTATTTCAAAGTTCTATGCAAATACACAGGAGCAGATAATAGACAATAGATGAGGACACCCTGCTTCCGGTGCATTATCAGTGTTGTCTTGAGATGGTTATTTTCCTATGCACTGAGCATTCATTGCCATATTATTCTGTGTCTGCCTTTCCATAAATCAAGGGGCTGAAAGGCTTAAAATGGTTTCCCAGACTCTCTTCTCATTCTGTAAGTAACAGGTTCTACCAGTGAGGCGCCCTGTGTAAAATCTGGAAGGCAGAGACCAATTCTCGTTAGCAGCAGCGGTAAGCTAACACACGGGTTCCAGCAGACATAAGTTTTTACAAAAGCCACACTCTGATCTCATGTCTTCAAGTTTGGAGTAGTTGTGACATTGGCTTAATTTGTGTAACTTCCTGGCCACAGGATCCCAGATGCAGTGCTGTGATTTAACTGTCCTAGAGCATTTATTTTCTTTCACTTTTTACTTCCACTCTTCCAGCCCTTCCAATGATTTTGTAAGCATCTGATTCCCTTTATTAAATACTGATTTACTTGAAATATCTAGTTTTTGTTTCCTACACTGAATCATCATTGATATGGTCCATGTTTTTAATTATGCCTCCGTTTTGTTTCTGTATGTATAGAATATTCATTTCTTCTTGTTTAATTATTATACTGTTTACCATTATTGTTGTTTTCAACTCAACTCTGTTATTGAGTGCTTTTTCCACTAAAGTGACTATAAGTGCAGCAGTGAGGCTATGAGAATTTTTCTTTTCCTTACTAAATGGGTTATAATAAAAAAAAAAGTATGAAAACCACAACTCTAGTTAAATCCACTGTTTTAGTCAAACTGGCCTATATGGCTATTGGGAACAAATCACTTATCAACCACAGCTCACATGATCTCTTGCATCAAATGGTGTCTTGACTGGTCACCCTCACACCCTTATGCAACCAGCTCCACTTACCACTTAACAACCAGTTCAAACCTATCTCCTTCTTTAATCTACCTCATGAAAGTATATGCCCCATCTCTTCAGTTGTGGGCAGATACCATACCCTACAACTCATTAGAGCTCAACAATGAACACACTGCTTAATAACACATCAATTACGGGCCATAATCAGTGTCCGAGAACTAACATTTCCTCCTCTGATCGCCCCATTTGTCAGTGAGGTCTTCATTTAGAGTCCTTTGTTCAACCTTTAGCTGCAAAGTTGAAGCATGAAATCAGAATTCACAAAAATATAAAACAAGGTAGTAAAAATGAGAAACGAAGCTTATGTAGCTGTGAACACACTGAGTAAAGGTGTAACTATCTTTGAATACAATAAAACACACAATGGAGTCAACGTGAACACTGCAGGGAAGTGAGAAGAGCCTGGACTACAGGTTGAAAATGCTATTTTCACGTCAGTCATTCATGCAAGCAGGGCCCCTATTCAGCCGACAGGCATCAATCTGACTGCATGGAACAGGTGTCTGTTCTGGTCGGTCAGTGCCTGTGCCGTGCCAGATGTTAAATATTTTAAATATTATCTCTGAATGCATCCAGTAATGAAATACCTACATAATAAAAATTTCTTCCTGTAAATTCCATTGCTTCCTAATCTGATCCTTTTCCTTTTCTGTGTTATAACAATTTAAAATTTTACTACTCCCTTCAAGACTCCCATCTTATCCCCAGTACCTAAGACAGTTCCTGACAGGTACTCAGTAAGGTTTGTTAAATGTTGAATAAATAAATGTGACTATTCACTTATTCTTATAGTTTAGAAAACAAAAAGTAATCCCTCCATATTCTTTATCCACTTACAAAATTTGTTGATCTTTTTTTTTCCTTATAAACATTTTCAATGTCCTTTCTCCATCAACAGCTTTATCTCAGCTTCAGCCATAAAAAGGCTCGATTCCCCCCCTCACCATTTTCCCTGGATTCCAACACCCCACTCAAGCTGCTGTCCCTATGCCCTTCCTTCATCTTTGATCTTCTTGATAGTCTACACCCAGTCTCTGTTCCCCCTCCCAACCATGCCTCAGCTATGCTCAACTGCTTTCTAGCACCACCCCTTCACTGAGAATACCACAGACTGCCGGAAGTAGCTCATTAATCGCCAAATCCTATCATGCTTTTTCAGTCTTCATCTTACCCTACCTCTCCACAGACACTGTCATTGTTGACAATGTCCCCTTCCTTGAGACACTCCCCTTCCTTGGCTCCCACCTTTTCTCTCCTAGCAGCCCTCCCTCTATCGTTAAGGCTAGTTAAATTTTTGCTGGATCTTCTCATGTAAGCTGAAACCTAACTGAGGAAAGGGAGAGGGGCAGTGTTGAGAGAGAGGCTGGAGATACTGGCTGGGGCAGATGCCAACTTGGAGACCATATCTGGAATGTCAGAATTTAAGTGGGACTGTTGCTTAAAGGTTTGAAAAACCACGACTTATAGTGAAGAATTAAATACATCCAGGCTTTCAGATGATGAAGAACTTCAAGTGAGCTGGATATGAAAGTGTGCTCACCACTCTTCCGGCCAAGGGGTCGTAGAACCGCTCCAGGAGCTGGACCACCGTGCTCTTCCCACAGCCGCTGCTGCCCACCAGGGCCAGCGTCTGGCCCTTCTTCACCTCCAGGCTCAGCCCCTGCAGCACGGGCACGTCCGGCCGGGTCGGGTAGTTGAACACGACTTCATTAAATGTCACATTTCCTTCCAACGTATTCTAAAATCAGAACAATACCAATAAATCTGACAGCTGTAATCCTGGAAATCCATTACATAGCCAACACCTTCTAGTGACAGGTGTCAACGGAAGTGAACTTGCATTATAGTTGGGTTTAATTTGTAACTGCTAGAATTTAATAAAAAAAATTTCAAAGAGTCAGTGTTTTTATATCCTGTATTGTTAATACAATACAAATGTGGTAACTCAATCTGTTCCCCAGGAATAGTCTACATATAATAAAACTTGATTATCAGGATTTGTTTATAAAATGGACAGTATTCTTATTTCCCTGTAACTTTGTCAAAAGTTACAAAAGTAATGGCTGTTAACACATATTATTAACATTTATTAAAATGAACCCATGATCTAAAAAGTTTAATTTTATCATCAGCAAATTTTAAAAGGCACAAACTTTATTAAATTTCCTCTTAGAATACAGTCATCCCTTGTTTATCGCGGTTAATCTGTTCCAGGCTCTAGCGGTTGCACCTGGCGTTGAAAAAGTCCTGGGGTGCTTGAATACATAGGCCTACAGTCCATACGTACAGTAATTTTAATTTTAATTGTAGTACAGAAGTGTATAATTGACTCAGACAACTGAGCACGCACTGTATCATTTTCACTGTCTTAATCAACTTTTTAATGATTATATTTGAAAAAACTGCGATAGAGTGAAGCCTCGAAAGTTGAAGTGCAAAGTGGCGAGGGAGGACTGTACTTATTTTTTAATCCTTGCTCGAAGACATACTTACTGATTTTAGAAAGAGAGGGAGGGAGGCAGAGAGAGAGAGAGAGAGAGAGAGAGAGAGAGAGAGAGAGAGAGAAAATCAATGTGAGACAGAAATGTGGACTGGTTGTCTGTCATGCACCCCGACTGGGGATCGAACCCCAAACCTAGGTGTGTGTCCTGACTGGGAATCAAACCCACAACCTTTTGGTGTAGGGAATGACACGCCAACCAACTGAGCCACACTGGCCAGGGTTCCTCTTAGAATACTTTCATTCATCAGTTAAGAGGAGATCATATAATCAAAACATCAAACTCACAAGCTTTAGCCCTTCTGTGCTCTCAATGTCGATCAGAGGGGTCTTTTCAATGATCATGATGATGTGGGCTGCTGACACTTTGGCTTTGGCATAATCAGGAGCAAATGAACTGACCTGCCCCACGGCCATGGCACCAAAGACAATAGCTGAAAACACCCTACGAAAAACAAAGACAAAATGTGTGCAAAGAATTATAACCCAAAGCTTGAAAGCTGGCACTGCATCAAACAATTACAAAACAGAAGTTAAAAAGACCACTTTTCTTTGTAAATTCATGTAAGTATAACAGGTCGACTAAATGGTCCCATTTTCCATCTCTCCCTGTATCCTCACCTTCTTGCAATGTGACTCTGCAACTTCTCCATTTAAACAGTAGAATCTGTTTTCCTACCCTTTGAATCTGGGTTGGGCTTGTGACTTGCTTTGGTCAACAGGATGTGGTGGAAGTGACTGTTGCCAGTTCCAAGCCTATGACGCAGGGGGCCTTGTATGCTTCTCCCCCCCCGCCCTCCTTCCCTCTAAATGCTGCCACTACCACCAGCCCAGCTGCCGGCTGGTGAACAGACACAGATGGAGGGAAGCATGTGGGTCCTGGCCAACTAGCTCACAGCTCACTGCAGGCATGAGTGAGCCTGGCTGAGATCCGTGATGCCCAACCTAGATCAGCAGAACTGCCCAGCTGACCCACAGACTCGGAGAAAATAAATGATTATCATCGTCTGCCACTGTAATGGTTGCTCGTTATACAGCATCATATGGCAGTCAATAATGGATATAGGCAGTGATGCTGGAATTACATCAGAGTCTTAGAACACCTATGAGCTGTAGAGTAAAGAAAGAATTCCTGCCCTGGCCAGTTTGGCTCAGGTGTTAGAGTGTTGGCCCATGGACCTAAGAGTCTGGGGTTTGGTTCCCGCTAAGAGCATGTACCTCAGTTGCAATTTGTCCCTGGCCCTGGTTGGGGTCGTGTGGGTGGCAACTACTTAATGTGTCTCTCTCATATCGATGTTTCTCTCTCTCTTCCCCCTCTCTCCCTCCCATTCTATCTGAAGAAAAAAAAGAAAGAGTTCTTTACAGACCCAGATATTATGCTGTTCCCAAGATGTATCCCAAGAATCATCAAGATTCATCTATGATAACAGCTTCAAGTTTGGAAGGACCGTACAGGATATCAAGTCCAGTGTTCAATGTTTGTGTCTAGGCACTGCCTCTACATTGACTTCTATCCTGTGTTTCAGGAAGTAGCAAGTTGGAAGAAGTCTGTTAAAAAGTTCTTCAAATTGAAGAAAAATCTATATCCTTTTGCTTAAGACAGTCCTTCAAGTACTGGAATGTTGTGGAAGAGAAGAGCAGTAGAAGGTAAGAGCTGGAGAATTTCAGAAATGACAAGGGAAAGCTAGACTGGGATTTCTGCTACATCACAGGTACAGTGCAGAAAATTTGCTTCTCTGATCACTCTCAACATTCCAGCTCCTTCCTCTGGACACTTTTACCAACATGCCTTTTTCAACCGTGTACCTGAAACTGACCTAAAACTTGGGAACCCTCCCAGATTAATACTGAGTCCATCACTTCCTCTCCTCCAGACTCCAGAGTCACCACCTGTGTTAATGTAGCACAAAGGATCTTATTTTAAATAGCTCTAAATAAATCACACAGAGGGTTAATCTTGGGCTTGCTCTCATTTAGACCTGGGGGATCTCTTCAAAATGGCCTGCCCTCTGATTAGACAGTTCACCTCTTTGTTTCACTTGGGAGACAGATTTTCTGAATCTAAACGCCCAAGTATCAGCAACTTTCATCAGTTCAATGCCTTACTGTGGAGTAAAGTGATATATCGAATGATTATCTAATCAAAGCCCCAATGCCAAATATACCTCTCCTGGTTGTGTTCATAAATAGCACCTGTATATCATTTGTCAGAGATATTAAGTGGAAGTTTTAAATCTTCTGTTGGGGCCATCCTGAGAAAATGAATGCATGTCCATGTCTAAGTAGGATGAAAATATTATACTAACACATTATGTTGCCAGGCTTAGGTGATTCCGGTTTAAATGTAAAACTCTATCATTACTAATGATAGTGTTATTACAGGGCAGAATCTCACCCATCACCAAATCTAGACACTCAGAATGAAACACATTTTCCAAAACCAATTGCATAGCTGAGTAATTCAGAAGTATGGTGAAGTTCAGTGCTGTGTCCCCCTGGCTGAGGCAGAGTTTTCTGCTTTCGGAGAGATAGATCACAAATCCCAATCTAGTTTTCCCTTGTCATTCCTGAAATTCTCCAGCTCATACCTTCTAACTTCTATTCTTTTATCAAAGACAGAAAGATTACCCTGGAATCCGCCAGGGCTTGCAGAACTCAGTGCTCCGCAGCTGTTCCTTAGCTGCCCTGTTCAGAGTCCTTTAAAAGGAGCCAGATACATACTTGGTTCAGGGTTAGGTTTCTTCCCAACTGCCAAGGCCTTCTGAAAACCCTTTACTGAATCACCACCCCAACTAGCCACAGACCCGAAAGGTCAAATGTGTGAGTCAGCTGCGGTGAGGGGAAGTCACTAATTTCCCAAATGAAACAGGGTGTTTTGGTGACAACACACGAAGACTCGGAGGCAAAGTGTCACCTTCTGAATCACTGAAATCTCTTCCTGAAGCTTCACAGTAAAGGTTTTTCATGCAGGTATAAAGAATATTCACCTTAGTTTTATTTCCAGAGCTTAAGTATAAATATGAATCCAATACTTACAACAGAACATCCTCAAACTCCATCAACTGATTTGCCACCAAGTAGGCACCAAACCGGAAACAGGCAGCATAGGAAAAATACATTATTGCCTGGGTGAGGGAAAATGTGATTCCAAAGATGTGTGCTTTCCTCAGAGAGTTTCTGAAAAGAAGACATTTGAAACTTATTTGACTTTCATTTCTCAGTCCTTAACCTTGATAGGTTAGCAGGGGGCGTGGAGCCATGGCAAGCAAAAATGAGTTGTTTCCAAAAAAACTAACTGTGGTCTTCACTTTACCACTGGTGAAAATTTAGAAAACTACCCAATCTCTGAGCCTCAGTGTCTTTATCTTTAATGAAGGATTAACCACACTTGCAAGTGTTGAGGTAAGGTTAAAATAAGGAAGGAAAACATGAAGAGCCTGTTAGGGATTCATAAATGGAAGACCATTCCCCTGCCCCCTCTTGGACATACAGCATATGTATGCTATCGTAAACATTCATGAACACACATTTATCCAACACCTCGAGCTGCAGGGACCACACTGTGCAGCACACAGGAACCAGGTACGTTCTTGCCCTTGGGGACCCAGGAGTTGAATTAGAGTTTATGCAATGGATGTACCTGATGAGTGACATGTTATGGGGACTTAGGTTTCACAAAGGAGTTAACATTCATGCATTTTCTGAAGCATCTAGAACTGAGCAATGGGAAGGTTAAGAGCAGGCTGCCAACTGGGCAGCCCTCTGGGGCTTCTACTCCTGCTTCAACCAGATCGACTCTGCTTTTATCTACTTCATTTACTGGGATTTCCAATGAAATGTTTTCCCAGAACAAAGGGCTCTGCTATTGTAAAAGTAAAGTCTGAAACCCCATCGATAAGGTCAAGCTCTTTCCTTTCACCACAGAAGAAACTGAAACTCAGAGGTTGGGCTTACTCATAATTAGACCACTTTTTAGAGCTCTAATAAGTTCATTACAGGAAGACCTTCCCCTGGAAAAGGGTAAAGAGGAAGAAAGGCATCCTACATGAAGCACCACAGCTCAGGTCCCACAGATACCTCAAATTTCAGGTTCCACAAAGAACTAATTTCCAACGCAGTAAATGCTAAGGTCATTATCAAACTTGGCATCAGAGAATCATGCTCTCCCACCCCTTCCCATCAGTCACGGTTCTTACAGGTTCTGCCTCAGAGATGCCCCTGCCTAAGGTCAGGGTCTTGTTATTTCTCTCCTTGGTAGTTACAGGTACTTCCCAAATGGTTCCTTCTAGTAGCTTCTCCATTTGTTCTCTACCTTCTGACCAAAGTAATCCTCCTGAAATCTGATTACTGAAAACCTCCCACTCCCCTCCAACTCTTCAGTGGTTATTACCTGTATGGTCCCTGCAAACTCTGTGCATACATATATTCAAATTTCATCTCCCGAGTCAAAGAAACAACAGTTCGGAAGTTTTCAATGGCCTCGGTAGCAATCTGTAACAGAGCACCCGGTCACCAAGAGGCACAAAGACAAACGACAATTCGTTTGAATTCCATACAAGAGATAAATAATATGTAATAATAAAATTAACATTATTCACTGATTTTGACCTAGGAGCTTCTTCGCTATGGGAAAGGATACTGAGTAATTTATCAAGTTGAGTTTTAGATCTGAAAAAAAGATTGGCTAATTCTATCTCCTCTCGACGGAGAGAGAAGCTAAGGCTTAAACTGACAGCCTTATGGTGGCAAAATTAACCTGAGAACTCAGCAACTTCCATCTATTGCAGTGCGATTTCTTCTATCATGGTCACCTTTGAAGTTTATAGTAATTTCATGTATTTTTAAATGTGATGTTTATATTTTTCTCTTTACAACTATCATTCATGACAACTGAATACTGTTTGGAAAATATTAAAAAGGTACAGAAAGTAACACAAAATTACATATTGATGTATTTTACATATTAGCTTATATGTTTTCTTCCTAAGCACATACATTTAACAAAATTGGGATATAATTCCATACTTGGCTTTATTTATCTTACCAAATATCAAGAACACTTTCTCAGGTCATTAAATATACATTAATAATGTAATTGTAATGGGCCACTTAGTATCCCAGCCACCCAAGCATTCCTTATTGAACATTTATTATTAAACAAGGTTTTCCATTCTTTTCTTTTAATTAAAAAGAATGCTGTGATAATCATTTTGTGCATAAACATTTGTCCATGTTGAATTATTTTTTTTAGGAGAAGTTCTTCAAAGTGAAATTCCTAGGTCAAAGAGAATAAACTAATTTTTAAGAAACATGGCACATATTACCAATTTGCTTTCCAGAGAGTTTCTATTATTTCTGTAATTACTTATTTGGTTAATCCTCACCCAAGGATACTTTTCATTCATTGATTTCCAGAGAGAGTAGAAGGGAGAAACAGAGAGAGAAACACTGATGTGAGAGAGACACACTGACTGGCTGTCTCCTGTACACACTCCAACTGGGGCCAGGGATCAAATCTGCAACCCAGGTACATGCCCTTGACTGGGAATCCAACCTTCGACCCTTTGGGGCTTGGGCCAATGCTCTCACCACTGAGTACACTGGCCAGGGCTATCATTTAATAAAAAAAATTTTTTTTTTAAATTTTTAATTATAGTTGACATACAACATTGTATTAGTTTCAGGCATATAACAAAGTGACTATACATTTATATAACTTACTAAATATCCACCTAGCACCATTCATAGTTATTACAATATTATTGACTATATTCCCTATGCTGTACTTTACATCCCCATGACTGTTTTTTTTTTTATCCTCACCCGAGGATATTTTTCCATTTTTTGTACAGATAGAGTGGGAGGGAGAGAGAGGAAGGGAGAGAGAGAAACATCGACGTGAAGGGACACATCGAGTGGCTGCCACCCGCACGACCAACCAGGGCCGGGGACAAACTGCAACTGAAGTACATGCCCTTAGCGGGAACCGAACCCGGGTCTCTCCAGACCGCAGGCCGACGCTCTAACCGCTGAGCCAAACTGGCCAGGGCCCCATGACTGTTTTTAAAACTGGCAATCTGTACTTCATATCCCTTCACCTTTATCACACATTCCTCCACCTCCCTCCCATCTGCAATCATCAGTTTGTTCTCTGTATCTATGATTTTGTTTCTTTTTTTGTTTGTTCATTTATTGTTTCTTTGATTCCACATATAAGTGAAATCATATGTATTTTCTGACTTATTTCACTTAGCATAATACCCTCTAGGTCCATCTATGTTGTCACAAATGGCAAGATTTCATTCTTTTTTATGGCTGAGTAATATTCCATTGTGTACTACCTCTTCTTTATTCAATCATCTATCGATGAACACACAAGTGTTTCCATATCCTGGCTATTGTAAATAATGCTGCAATGAACATAGAGGTGCATATATCTTTTTGAATTAGTGTTTTCAGTTTCTTTGGAGAAATACCAGAAGTGGAATGACTGGGTCATATATAGTATTTCTATTTTTTATTTGTTGAGAACCCGCCATACTGTTTTCCATAATGGCTGCACCACTTTACATTCCCACCAACAGTGCATGAGGCTCACAGGTGTGAGGGGATATCTCCTGGTGTTTTTTTTTTTTATCCTCACCCGAGGACATTTGTCCATTTTTTGTTCAGGTAGAGTGGGAGGAAGAGAGAGAGATAACCATCAATGTGAAAGGGACACATCGAGTGGTTGCCACCTGAACGTCCCAACCAGGGCTGGGGACAAACTGCAACTGAGGTACATGCCCTTAGCGGGAACTGAACCCAGGTCTCTCTGGACCACAGGATGATGCTCTAACCGCTGAGCCAAATTGGCCAGGGCTCCTGGTGGTTTTAATTTGCATCTCTCTGATGATTAGTGATGTTAAGCATCTTTTCATTTGTCTATTTGCCATTTGTATGTCCTCTTTGGAGAACTCTCTTTTCATGTCCTCTGCCCATATTTAAAAAAAAAATTTTTAATCCTCACCCAAGATATGCTTTTATTGATTTTTTATTTTGAGAGAGAAGAGCAGGAGGAAGAGATAGGGAAAGGGGGAAGAGGGAGAGAGAGAGAGAAAGACAGAGAGAGAGAGAGAAACATTGATCCATTGCCTCCTGGACAAACCCCAATTGGGGATCAAACTTGCAACCTAGGTATGTGCCCTGACCGGAAATCGAACCAGCAAGCTTACGGTATATGGGACAACACTCCAATCAACAGAGCCACCAGATCAGGGCTCTCTGCCCATTTCTTAAATTGGATTGTTTACTTTTTTGTTATTGAGAGTTATAAGATTGCTATGAGGAATGGTTACAAAAAGATTCTTCGAGCTTATAAGTAGTAGTAAGTTACAGTAACAGAACAACACTGATTAGAATATTTTACTCTACTTAGGTAAGCAATTGACTTAGTTTGACTCACCTTCCCAGAACCTTCAAGCTCTTTCTTATCTTTTAATGCATGTCCAGACAGCATTTTCATTTCAACAACTCCTGCTATTGCAATGATGGGTACAATTGCTAAGAGTAGCAGAGTTAACTGCCAGCCATAGATTAAGGATATAATAATGCCTGTCCCAAGGTTTGCTACATTCTGGGTAATTATAGCAAGTCTGGAACCTGTTGCCTGCAAAACAAACAAACAAAACAGATTAGAGGACAGTTTTCCATTATCTTTAAAATCCATGCTTACATTTTCTTTAGGATTGTGACAATTCAGCCTCATGGAAACCTATTATCTTCTCAATAATAACATAAAAAATAAAAGTTTATTGGCTTATAAAATGAAGATGTTCATGACTTTAGAATACATACTGAAAGTACAAGGTCAATATTGCAGAATTCAATTGTATATTTCTATCTCTGATTTTTTAATACCAAGAAAATTTCCATTAATCGATCCACGATCACTAAAGTGATCTCTGCAAGTTAACAAGATAAAAGAGTTTTGACAATTATGTTAAACTGAGAATGTGGGAAATTTCCAATGTTAGATGTAGAAATACTTATAATTTAAGTCTAATATTTGTCATTAAGAATATTTAAATGTATGTTGGCATATCTGAGATACGTATTGTGTTCAATTTAATCTGCATTTGATTTTAAAAAGAATGCAGAGAGCTGACACTTAGGGGATTTAATTCAGAACATTAAGCAGGCATCAGACCAGAGGGCGCCTGAAGCATGATGTTCAGGAGTGAGCAGTGATTTCCAACTCTAAAACCAGAGGTCGAACGAGAAAGGCAATTCAGTCCACCACTCCATACTTCCTTCCTCTACCCTGGAAACACCCCATGCCCTCAAGCCATCCCAAATGCCTCCTCTGGCCCCCAGATCTGCTTTGTCTGGAAATGGCCCATGTTCTTTTCAGTCCCAGAATTTCCTGCTTGAGTGGGGCTGGTCTCCAGTAAAGGTTATGGTAGAGTACAGTCCAGGGTGGTCACTGCCACCTCTGTGACTTCGGTACATTGATTAATAGATAAAGCTTCTCTCAGCTGTGAGTTCTAGGACAGAATCCTCCACAACATCCCCTTCCCCAATATTGACCCTCTAAACTCATTCCACTTAGGTGATTTAAACAATAGATCAGTAATTAGAAGGAAAGGAAGCTACAATGACTAGGAGCCTCTATAAATTAGATTCTGTACCAGAGAACTGCACCAGGGCCAAAGGAGACAGCATAAATAATAGAGCATTTATTTTTATTTGATGTAGTCATTGAGCTTCGGCCAAAGGGGTGCTTAGCTAAATTAGACATACGTCAAAAAGTGGAGCGGCCTTCAAAGCCAGCTCTCTGTATTTACACATTTTCAATTTGAAAGTCCAAAGTTACAACCTGGAGAGAACCCGCAGCACAGGGAGGATGTAGCTTGCTCCTGTTCTCAGCATCTACAAGTCCTCCTCAGAAAACTTCCCCACGGCAGCGGGCTGAGAGGAGCACTCAGAACTCCCCCACGTTCAGGGCTGATGAGTTACCCAGGCACATAACCTTTCCCACACATAAATATTTAGCTTTGGATGTTAGTCAAGGCCACAGAAATAAGTAAAATGAATCAAAGATGACAACAAATTCTTCTTTTGTGTACATGAAAAGTCTAGAACCTTCAGCTGGGGGTGGGAATTAAGCCCCTGGCTTAATTTAATTTCAAAAAGTAGGGGTGACGAACAGCAAGTGCTGGTGAGGGTGTGGAGAAAAGGGGACTCTAGTACACTGCTGGTGGGAATGCAGACTGGTGCGGCCACTATGGAAAACAATATGGTGTTTCCTCAGAAAATTAAAAATGGAACTGCCATTTGACCCAGTGATCTTGCTTCTAGGAATATACCCTCAGAAGCCTGAAACACCAATCAGAAAGAATATATGTACCCCTATGTTCATAGCAGCACTATTTACAATTGCTAAGATCTGAAAACAGCCCAAGTATTCATCAGTAAATGAGTGGATAAAAAAGCTGTGGTATATTTACACAATGGATACTATGCAGCTGTAAGAAAGATCTCTTACTCTTTGAGACGACATGAAGGAACCTGGAGAGTATTATGCTAAGTCAAATAAGCCAAACAGAGAAAGACAAGTACCACATGATCTCACTTATTTATGGAATATTATGAACAAAATAAGCTGTCGACCAAAATAGATCCAGAGACATGGAAGTAAGGAACAGACTGACAATCCTCAGAGGGAAGGGGGTTGCGGGGTTGGGAGGTGGGAAGAGATAAACCAGAGAGTTTGAATGCATATATGTATAACCAATGGACACAGACAATAGTTTGGGGAAGCAGGAGGGGAGTGGAAGTGGGAAGGAGGGGTCAATGCAGGGGGGAAGGGGGATATCTGTAATAATTTAAACAATAAAGATGGGGGGAAAAATGTAGAGCTGAGAGGAGGTAACACTCTGAACACCACACCCCAAGCATGAAACATGGGAAGACAGAAATGCTTTACCACTTGAATCCACAAAGACCCCTCCCAATCTCTCCACTGTACGTATTTGCATCTTACTTCCTCTACTACTCATTTTTCTCCTCACCCTTCCCTGTTTGTCCCTCTCCTACTATTTATTTCCTCCTCAAAACACCATATTGCTTGAAATCCAGTTTTTAAATATCTGTGCTTACTGAATAAAAGCGTATTTCCTGGACCTCCTTCTGAAATTAGAAACATTTAACATTATCTTTCCCTCACCCACCTTCTCCCCCTGCCCCAAATTTTATTTTATTTTATTTATTTATTTATTTTATCCTCACCCAAGGACATTTTTCAATATTTTGTTCAGATAGAGTAGGAGGGAGAGAGAGAGAAACATGGACGTGAAAGGGACACATCGAGTGGCTGCCACCCGCACGACCCAGGGACAAACTGCAACTGAGGTATGTGTCCTTAGCGGGAACCGAACCCCTGCCCCAAATTTTAAAAATACATGGCTGTTTTTTATTTCTATATGGGTCTCCTTTGCTTGTTCTCTCTGCAGAATTCTAGTCTTAGCAAAAGAATTTTACTTATTAATAGAAAAACAAATAAAATGTAAAAGCCCACTGTTTCATAGGCAAAAATACTGAGCTATATTTTCTTCTGATTTATATTTAGCGGAATTAAGCTACTCACTCAAAAATATATTTGAGAAAATGCTTCGCTGATGGCAAAGTAAAATATGAAAAAAATTTAACGTAAATAAACACTATCACTAATTATATATACACAAACTGAGTCAGCCCTGCCTCGGGTGGCAATGATTTCTGATAGCTCTGCCCGTCTCAGATAATTTTACATATCAAAAATTACTTACATTACCTCCCACTGTGGAATAGACAGATACACATATGTACATGTGCATGTGGTAGGTATATATGTATTTGTATGTGCATAGATGTATACACACACACTCACATCCTCCATCCCAAACAGGTCAGCTAGGGGCATAAAGTGGATACAACTCTCCTCTCTCAGCCAACTTGTGATAATAGCTGTCCTGGGCTTTCCTGGTTCAGATGACACTCACCAATCTGCTTGCTTCCTCTTTCCTGGTCTTTCTCTTCCAGAACTATTTTAAGTTCTGGAGAACAGTCCTGACTCACAGTGGTTGACACAGGGCCCGCAGGCGTCCCGCTAGGGGGGCTGTGAGCGTGCAAGTGTGAGATGCCTTTGAGGAAACCAGTGAGCAGCAGACCACTAACACCAGCAGGCCATTAGGGACCAGCGGGTTCCTGGATACAGCCGAAGGCCTCACAAACAACACTGGAAAGGGAAAGAACCGACAGCCAATTTTATCAGGAAAGCACTGTGGCCTAAAGCAGGCCATCACCCAGAGGAATTTACGAGGAGGAAGGAAGGATGCCGAAGCCGACTGCCCAGACTGCGTCTGCTCAGGTTCAGTACCGAGAATGGAGTCCTCAGCACACAGTGGGATATGGGATGTGTCTGTGAAAGCATGAACACATGTGACAGAGTCCCTGTGAAAGGTGTACTACAGTCAAGGCACCTAAGTGAGCTAAGGAATACAGGATTTAGAAAATGCAAAGATAGCAATGTTTACAGTGATTGCTATTCCTCAACTATAGCTCTTCCAGGAAGCTAGCAAAATAGATTTACCCCAACCTGATTAATTGATTCTTGTGTCAATTCAAGTAAAAAGTAAAATAGAGATGAGTACTTTCCATCCTCTTTCTTCTCTTAACATCCCATTTACTAGAAAGTCCTGTAATAATCTGTCCATCTGTGTCCTATTCGTTTTCCCCTTTCTCCTGAACCCACTCCGATCAGACTTTCCCACACCTCTGAAACAGTTCTTGCTAGAACCATAAACACCCCCACATGGCTACAGCACTGAAATGTCCGGATCATCTTGCAAACTCATCAACAGTATTTGATATCCTAGCCTGCTCCCTCCAGGAAATGCGTTCTTCTTTCTGTTTCTAGGATACTGTTCTTCTCCCTCCCTGGCCACGCCTTGCTCTTCTCTCTAGTTCATCCTCACAGCCCGAGCTCAGGGCCCAGGCCTTGTCATCTTCTCTAGCTACACATTTCCTTGGCTATCTCTAGTCTTATGGCTTTAAAAACGAACAATGCATGAAAAATCCCCAAATGTATATTTCTAGACCAGACTTCTCTGCTTAACTCAATATTTACAAATCCACCTGCCTTCTTGATATCTCCACTTGGACATCTAATGTTGGCATCTCAAACTCACCATGTTCCAAACAGAACCCTTGATGCTCTCCCCAAGCCTGCTCTACCAACAGGCTTCCCAATTTCAGAGGTTAGAGCATCAGCCTAGACTGAAAACCGGGGTTATAGGTTTGATCCCTTGCCCCAAGCAGGGTCATTTGGGAGGCAGCCAATAGATGTGTCTCTCTCACATTGATTTACATTGATGTTCCTCCCTTCCTCCCTCCCTCCCTCCCTCCCTCCCTCCCTCCGCCCTCCCTCCCTCCCTCCCTCTTTATCTTAAAAAGAAAAAATCAATGGCAAAATATCCTCGGATAAAGATTGACCAAAAAAAAAAGGGGCAACTACATTTTTCCCATTGTGCAGGTCAAAAATTTTGGAGTCTTTCTTACATCCCCTTTCTCTCATATCCCAATCAACCAACAAATTCTGTTGGCTGTACCTTCAAAATATATCCAGATGTACTCCAGCCACACTATCCTCCTGCTTTAGGAACAGTAATGGAAATGCTCCAGCCTCAGGGCCTTTGCACTTGCTGGTCCTTTTGTTTAGAACACCCCCCTCTAAACACCTACAGGGTTGGCACCTTTCCTTCCTTCAGACCTCTTGCATATGTCAACATATCAGGCCTTCCTTCCCTGACAACTAGTAATCTCCTACCCCCATGCCCTGCTGCCATTTTTCCCACAGCACTCAATGACGATCTGACATGCCAAGTAGACTCCATAGGGTCAGGGCTGTTGTCTATTTTATAAGTTCAATGTTATTTCAAGCAGTGTACATTCTGTGCTGCTAGGTTCTATACAACGTGATCTAAGCCTCACTTTATTTATTTTTTTTATCCTCACCCGAGGATATTTTTCCATTTTTTGTACAGATAGAGTGGGAGGGAGGGAGAGAAAGGGAGAGAGAGAGAGAAACATCGACGTGAAGGGACACATCGAGTGGCTGCCACCCGCATGACCAACCAGGGCCGGGGACAAACTTGCAACCGAAGTACGCGCCCTTAGCGGGAACCGAACCCGGGTCTCTCCGGACCGCAGGCCGACGCTCTAACCTCTGAGCCAAACTGGCCAGGGCTAAGCCTCACTTTTTATTGATTTGTTTCCTTTAAGCAAAGAAATCTGTATTAAAACATTTCCTAAGATTTATATTACAATTTTACAACTCTCTGTATGCTAATTTGTTCTTACAGAGAAGCTCCATATATTCATAACCTAATTTATTCTTGCAGAAGCCCTATGTATTAGATAGAAGAAATGTTATTATAATAAACTTTACAGAAAGCTCAAGACTGATAAGGTTCAAGGGAGAAAAAGGTGGCAGAGACCACATGCTTGCTTTTTTTTCAAATTCGATATCATCTTCTGGATTTCTGCTATGAAAAATTGTAGTGGTAGAAGAAATTGTCACTTCATCCTGGTTCAAGTTTCTAGTTTTATCAATGAAAGATATCCATACCATAGCAAAATGTAAGCTTTACAGTCTGACAATGTTGTTTCTTCTACCTTTGCTTTAATTTTTTTAATGTGCTTCTCATTCATTTCTTTCAAACTTTTTAAAGTTTTCTTCCCTCCCTTCTAAACTGTAGTACCCCTAAACTTTCTTACAGCAACTATACATATTCTTCTTTTTTGGAGGCAATTAAAATATTGTTGATTAACTGAACATTAAAATAGACTGATCCTATGTGATATGCTGATAAATACTTCCTTTGCTAAATAATCATCTTTCCACATGTATATTGTTAATAGCATAAACAAGATAGCAGATAACAAAAGAAAGCTTGTAAGTTATTTATACACTAAACAGTTTATGATACTTAGTTAACATTTTTTCTGAGGCACATGATATAATGTGTAGGTTATATGTTTATCTAACATTTTCTTCAATATGATGGGAATTAACACCTGTTATGAGAAAATTAGTTTCACAATGAGATTCAAAATGGCCAATTAAGACAAACACCAACAGAAAGGAGGCACGCACCCCTTTAACTTGAGCAGCATCATTGGCAAGCCTGGTCGTCAATGCTCCAGTGGTATTTTTAGGGTCGTCAAACCAGCTCACATCCTGTGCATAGAAAATGATTTTATTATCTTTAAGCCCTATTTATAAGACTCTTAGCTCCAAAGACCATGAGAGGGTCAGTTTTGCTTATCATTTATATCTCCTGCATTTAGCAATCAGGATTTGACACTCAATAGAGGCAAAAAGGGACTTAACAGACAAACACATATATTGGTCAAATTTTTTTGAATGTCCAGTTTGTTCCAAACATGATTTCTAAGTGCTAAGCCTATACAATAGTGAACAAAAAAGACAAAGTTGCTGCTTTCATGAAGCCTGGATTCTAGAGAAGAAAGCCGAAAATAAATACATAAATATTTATGGTAAATATTATTACCATGCCAAGTGGTAATGATGCTATGAAGAAAAATAGAGCAGGACAAGAAGAAAAAAAGTGAGGAAAGGTGCTATTTTATAGACTAGGGAGGTGACAGAGAAGGCCTCTCTAAGGTGACACTGAGAAGAGATCTGAATAAAGAGGAGAATGAGAATATCTCAGCAAAGACAGAAATAGCACATGCAAAGGCCCCGTGGCAAAGGCATACTTGAACTGTTCATGCAATAGCAAGAATGTCTTAAGGGCTGCCACTAGTCTTAAAATCACCTTTGTGTGAATTTGTGAAAGTTTATTCTTCCTCTAGACAGATTTCCTTTCTCATTTCTTCCCTCCCTTCTAAACTGTAGTACCCCTAAACTCCTCTACTCTCATATCTTTATTCAGAGAGTCAGTGCATATATTGACTATGTATTGAAAAACAGGTGATGAGGTCTGAGACGTAGTGGGGGGGGGGGGGGCGTCATGTGCAACCTTAGAGGCAACTGTAAAGATTCCAGATTTTTACCCTGAGATATATGGGTAGCTTTCATTAGGTTTTGGGCAGAGGACTGTGATCTGACTTTCATTTTAGAAGATTGACTCCGGCACTTAGGAGGTGAACCTACTGGATTGAGATAAGAATGGAGGTGGTGAGACCAGTTAGGAGGCTTCTGTAACATTAAACAGAAAGAAAGGAGTCAAGGATGTCTCTAAGTTTCTTCGCCTGACAACTGTGGAATAGAGTTGCCATTCACTAATATGAGGGAAGACTAGGTAAGGAATGGATCCTGTGCGGAGGGGAGAGTCTGGAGCTCAATTCTGCAAATAAATATGAAATGTTTATTGCCTGTACAAATACAGAATTGCTATTCAGCTACGTAATTGTAGTTCAGGGCAGAATAAATAAATTGGGTTTTAAAAAAATCAACCAAAGAAATCTCAATCAAAATTTCACATTCAATATAAAATGACATTTTCTTTGTAAAATCACTTTTGTTTTTAAGTACACAAATATTAAAAAGACTGTTTGTTTGAGGTATAAATTTAAGTCTGTTACAAAAATAACTATGGTCCTAATAAGTTATCTGAACTAGTGATTTGCATTAAAGCAGCATCTATTACTTCCCCAAACATATTTAAGAAAAAAACAGCATTATAACTTATAGCATGTATCAATTTGCTTTTTAAGACCCCTAAGTGCCTCCTCAACTGGAATATAACTTCCTTGAAGACAGGGTTCATTCACGTTTGAATGACTTATAATACTAGGTATTATGCCTTGTAAGCAGATGGCACTTAAATGTATGATGACTGGACTTAATAATTTACAGAGAGGGCATTGCACAAACCATCAGCTCAGCTTCCAAAGTGTAATGGACTTGGGGGTTGGACTGGGGACTGGTGGTGGCATTTGGCCCTAATCCAAGGTCAGCCTCGAGCCTAAGAGGAAGCTCAGCAATAAAAATCTGACTGAGTGTCCTAGGTCAGGGCCCTTGGTCAAATAGTGCTCTGTGACTCATTAGATTCAGCCCTGGCTTTGTCGGTCACTAGCTAGCAATTCTGATAACTGTCTTCTTTTTAAGTGGCACTGAGGTAGGAGTGGGAAAAGACTAGGAAACAAGACAGCTGGGAAAATGTGAATGTCATCCACAAATTCTAACACAGCAAACTGATGTTTCTCAGTCAGGGTTCAAGAGCCCTGGCGTGTCTGGGGCATCCTTTGGAGCACCATTTTATTCACTGGTGAAAGATTAGTAGAAAACTATGTTACAAAGTCACATACAAAAATTTCATGATTGTTAAAGAAACTTTGCTGTTTGAACTGGGCTTGGGCAACATGCCCTGAATCTCTGGTCCACTTTTCCCCAGGAAAACATCACATCTGTCTGTTAGGGTTTTGAAGGTGTAAAATGGGACAGGCATTATATTAAGTCATTATCAACTCGTAACACTGCAGCTTAAATTAGTCTATCAGTCTAGCCCCAGCAAAGAAACTGGGCAATGAAGAAATGGGCTGAGGATGAATTTTCATTTGTGGAAAGGGTTACAGGGCATCTCTGGTGGGGAGAAACACAAGTACTCTGGGTTTCCTAGGAGAAAGAAGGAAAGAAAGAGAGGAAAGGGATGTACGGTACTGAAGGTCACTTCCGCCTGCTCTGCGTATGGCTGCTGAGACAAAGGCTGGAGGTGAATGTGCTCTGGAGACTGTCTCGCAGCCACCCTGTGCCCGCCCACAGCAGACAGACGGCAGGGCCTCTGAGCCTGCACCCGGTGGCATTCAGTTTCATCTTCCAGACGAGACCCAGGGTAGAGCAATGCAGGAGCTTCTCTGAGTCACCTGCGGTGCTCCCACTGCCTGAGTCCATGGGACCCAGCAGTTCTGCACATCCCAGGGCACAATCCCCAATAGAAATACCTGTCTCAGCATGGATCTAAAAACCATGTACCGAAGCCGCTTGGTGAGGATCTCTCCGGCTTTGCCAAATGTGTAGCCCTGTGAAGAATGAGAACACACCATAAGGGGACTATTCGAAGACTCAGGCACTAAGTTCACAAAAGGAGGGGACTTAATGTCATTGCTAAAGAGGACATAAGACAAAGTCAGAGAGCCAGATTTTAAGAGGTGGTTGTGTTCTGGTGACTGTTTACTACGGTGGCACAGCCAGGGAAGCCCAGTTTTGAAATTGACACTGCCACTCCCCAGCTAGCTGGCAGGCCACCTCTGCTTCTCTCTCCCAATGAGCCAGGGTCCATCACTCAGGAAGCTGGAGTTGTTCCCAAGGCAGGGGCACTCTAAACAGGGCGGCTGTACAGTGTATCATCCAAACCAGAATACTTTTGGGAGCGTAAAGGGGTACTATTAATAATTACACCAGGACCTGAGGTGTGAACTGGGAATATACGGTCACTCCAGCCAGAAAGGATGCAGAAGACAAAGGTATTAAATTCAAATTCTTAGTTTCTAAGTTTGAAAAAGCCAAAGCCTTAGAGAAAAGTAGGCCGGGAAAGAAGCCTTACTGAGAATTTTCTACACTACCCTTCTCCATTCCCCAAGGGTGGAACCTGCTGTATCTGGAAGGAAGAAAGTTCCTGGGAAGGAATCCAGGAAGCTGTGATTGTGCAGCCATGTCGGGCCACATCTGGGTCGGGGGAGGACAACAGAACTCTCGCCCCAATGAGTTTGGGGGTGCGGGACTAAAAGGAAGCAGTGCTCCGCTCTCTTTCTGGAGCGCTGGGAGGTGGCAGGTTACAGATGACACCTGCCACACAATGGCATGGCAAAAGCAGAGTAGAAATGGCTGGATGGTGCATCAGGAGAGGAGAGGCCCTACCAACAGCCCCACATCTGTAGAATCAGAGAAGTGGAGGAAGGCGACCATATCTCCACTGTGCTCCCAAGTAGCGTGTTGGACACTACTGAGAGAGGGAAGAAATAGGTGCAAAGAGCACAAGTGAAGAAAAATAAATTCTTCTAAGTGGTCCTGGTAAAGGGGACAGCCAGGCTGGACCATGTAACTGAAGGTGAATGGGGCCACACAATGGGGCCACACACCCTTCTGGTTCACAGCATAAAGCAGACCATCACCCTCCACTCTGGGCTGTAATGTTTCATAACACCTCTGCTAACAGATGCCAACCCAGGGAGAAGAAGCACAGGGAGAATTAGATATTTTGAGTTTAAGCCTGAAGTTACTAAAGTGGTTACATTTACTCAGAAATGACCAGATGGAGGTTTCTGCTATTAGGCTGAATGAAATGTGAACTACCTCATCCACAACAGAAATGTTACTATTCTTATGTTGGAGACAGTATCGCGATGAGAGCTAACTGTTGTTAGGTGCTTCCTCTGACACCAGACACATGTCATCTCATTAAGTCCTCATGACAACCCTATAATCAGCCCCTTATAGAAGCTGAGATTCAGAGAGGCTGCTAAGTTGCCAGAGGCCATGGTTCTCAGGTGGCATACAGCTGAAATCTGAATGGGGGGCTCTGAGAATCCTCACCAGAGCCTGAGATGTCACCCACTGAGCTCCCTCATGTTTCTAAATGAGGGGCTGGGCGCTCTAGCATCAGGCTGGGGACCATATCTACACTTCTGAGGCCCCATAATTCACAGCTTTCAGTCTTACCTTGTTTGCCAGGCAAGCCAGGCTCTAGTCTCCCCACGCATCATCATGGGACTGCTTTAGCTGCCTTGGCTTCACCAATCCCAATCTCTCAAGTTGAAGAGACCAGCTCAAAGCCTCCCTCCCTCCAAATTCCTTAACCAACTTCGCCCTCAGCAATCTTGACCTTCTCCCAACTCTTATGGCATTAAGACTTAGTATGGCAATCCTGACATAGCTAGAATGTCACATCTATTTATATAGTATGGTCAAATTCCCCAATGAGACAGGAAGTACTTCGTAATGAAAGAGTTCCGTCTTTTCCTTTTGTATCTCCTATACAATGTTGAACGATGTTCTATTAAAAATATTACTACATGGCTCTGGCTGGTGTGACTCCGTGTGTTGGGCGTCGTCCCGTGCACTGAAAGGTTGACAGTTCTATTCCCATTCAGAGCACATGCTTGGGTTTCAGGCTCAACCCTTGGTAGGGGGCTTGCAGGAGGCAGTGATCTATGTTTTGCTTTCACATCAATGTTTCTCTCTCTCACTTGCCCTCTCTCTCTCTCAAACACAATAAAGAAATCTTAAAAAAATATTAATACATGCATACACTATGTTAAATAAAGAGACCTATTCAGAAGTCTGTCTTAAAAAATCACATGTGGCTAATAATTCTTCATTCAATAAGTGATCGCAATTGCCTCACACAGGTCTGGGCACTTAGTCACATTATTTCCTTTAATCATCTAGAGGTAGTTCTTGATCCCTATTTTACAGATAAGGATCCTTAGTTTAAATTACTCATTTGCCCAAGGATACAAAATTAAAAACTAGTTCAACTTGTACTCCACCTAGGTCTAACACCAAAACCCACGCTGCCTCACCATACTAATCTCTGAGGGCATCAATTCCTTTGCCCCGTTCTCTCTGACTTCATTAATATTTCAGCTGGGGCAGGCAAGTGTGAAGAGAGGAGGTAAGCAAGTAAGCAAGGGAGCCAGAGGAAGCAAAACATCTTTTTTTTTTTTTTTTAATATCCTAAAGAAACTTGGCTCTAATAGCCTAGTTGATATAGGAACAATTTTACTAAAAAGCAAATTACATAGATGCTTATAAATTCCTACAATGGAATAGTGATGCATTTCTCAAAATCAATAAAGTGAAAATGTAGACATTTACCTGAAGGAAAAATGTAATAAAAGAAATAATTCCAAGGACTAGAAACAAGAGTGAGAACAAGTTGCTGTTCTGTCGTTGTATTTCAGGATCATCATCTCTGGTAAAAATCTGTTAAGAAAAAAAATGGTTTTCAAGTCAATCACTGAAGAAGTCATTCAGGGTCAGACCCATTTTCCATCTAGCACAGTATTCAGGTGTCAAGAGAGTCTTTGTATAATGTACTGGCTTCCCCAATCCCAAACTTAAAGGTACCGAATATTCCTTTCCTTAGAGGCTGACAACAGGTCTTTCATTCCCAAATTGACCCAACACTTTTTCTGCTCATAGTCCCTCTCTGAGTAGACTGCCACACCTACTATGTAAAGTGGAACTGAGAATGCACACTCTCTTCCTCCTTTGGTGGGAAACTACATTGTAGGGCAATTCATTGTTTTACAGTTTGGACAATTGTCCCAAGGTATGACAAGTCCACTGATGTGATTTTGGTGAACCAGAGAGAGGTGGTCATTCACTCAGCACAAAATAAGGTGTTTCCTTGACCCAGCCTTTGCAGGATGGACAGTTAGAAAGCCAGTGGGGAACTACAGCCAGCTGGCCCAACACCACAGGTCGAGACATTTCCAGGGATGGTCAGAGGAGCTACCCACTCCACAGGGAAAGAAAGCAAACATCACTCTGTAGTGAGCCCAAATCAGTGTTGTAACAGAGCCACATTCTTAACCCAGACTTTATCCTTTGTAAAGAAAAAAAGCTTTTTAGAAAAAAAAAATTATATTTTCTGGATTAGTCATTACAACAAAAATAATAGTTACCAATCAGTGAGTTCTTACTCTGTGCCAGGCACTATTCTAAGCAAATTCATGTATACTATTCCTTTTATCCTCCCCAGCACCCCTTGAGGTTTATTTTATTATCATCACTATTTTATACAGAGGAAAACTGAATCACAGAGAGGTTAATTAACTTGTTCAAGGTAACACAGCCAAGTAAGTGATGATCCAAGGATATAAAGCCAAGCAATCTAACTCAGAGCCTACAACCTTAAACTCTGTGTTACAAACCTTCAATGAGGCAGATGGCTGGTTGCCTACCTAATATTTAGCAGCTAATGAGTCAATCCTGGACCACCTGCTTTCAGACCTATTGTTACATAAGGAAATGATAGAAACAAAAAATCTGTAAGCTGAGCTTTTGTTACGCACAGCTAAACCCATTCCTACTTCAATTTCATTTTTTTCCTAATGATACCACTGTCTCTCTGCCTGCCACACAAATGTTAGTAGGGGAATTGGCAAAATATGTTCCACTAGCCAAATGCTTATGTCAAGTTTTAACATGACTTTAGCGTTACAATGGCAAGGGTGAGTATTTGCCATAGAGATGACATAGCCTACAAGGCCTAAAATATTTACCATCTTATCCTGTGTAGAAAAAGAATGTCCTGTATAGAACATCACTCCAAGCAATTGGACACTTGCCTCTTTCTACCCTTTCAGTCCCTAGAACTATAGCTGGCACAAGAAAGACACTGAAAAAATATTTTTTGAATGAATACATTAAACATATGAATGTCAACCCGAAATAAGTTATCCAGGCACAAGTAAACATGAATATTTATGGCGTTGTTGATATAATCAAACATTTGTGCTTTGCCTGTGTTTTATGTAGGAATCAATCTCCTTTCCCAGTGTTTCCAGAAGTTAGGGCAGGGGTTTCCTCAGCGTGGGGCTTGAATATTTGCACTAAGCAGAAAACACTCCTGCCTGGATTGTAACTGTATTGTTGAAAATGCCATCATTCAAAGCAGGTGCAACCAATGTATGTCAATCTCAATCTTTTGGAAGCCGGTCCATCTGTTTGCACCTTCACGCGTGAGATGGACATCTTCCGGAGGCAGCAGGGGTGCCTGCTCACGTCTTGACAAGTGCGTATGTTAGAGAGGAGCTCCCGCCCTGGCCAGTTTGGCTCAGCGGTTAAAGCGTCGGCATGTGGTCCGGAGCGGAGCTCCCTCCAAGCCCATCTGACAAGTATATGAGGCACTCTCTCTGCACAGTGGTGATATGACCTTTCATGAGGTTTACTCAGAGCCTAGTGATGGCAGTAAGGGACAGTCACCTCGTCAGTTTCATGGACTACTACTTTGGGGATCTGGTCTCCTGGACCCTAGTAGAAACTGACTGCCAGGACAAAGGGAATTTCAAAAAATGAGCTTTCTATCACTAACCAGACTTCTATTCTTACATCTTCACACTGCTCAGTTTCATATGAAGGTACATGTTTTTTTTTAATCCTCACCCAAGGACACCTTTTCATTTTTTTGTTCAGATAGAGTGGGAGGGGGAGAGAGAGAGAGAGAGAGAGAGACAGACAGACATCGACATGAAAGGAACACATCAAGTGGCTGCCACCCACACAACCCAACCAGGGCCAGGGACAAACTGCAACCAAAGTATATGTCCTTAGCGGGAACTGAGCCCGGGTCTCTCTGGACCACAGGCCAACGCTCTAACCGCTAAGCCAAATCGGCCAGGGCAAAGGTACATGTTTTTTATGACATTTGTATACAGTTACAAATACAAACAGTTCATTCTTTAGTCAGGACTCACAAGTAAACCCAGAAAGTAAATGTAAACACTCACCCCTATGATCTTTGAAAATATTACAGAAAATGCTGGTTGCAGGCCTCCGTTTATGATGGCACAAAATATACCCACCACAAAATAAGGCCATTCGGTGATATTCAGCTTCAGAATCCTCCAAAAGCTAACTGGAGGTACATTTTCATCCTGAAAAACACAAAATATTACAACAGGCTGGTTAGAAAAAGAATTGATACTTAATTGATAAAATGATGAACAGTTCTTCCATATGTAAAAAAAAAATTTAATGAATATATCTAATTATTTCCTTATCAATTGATGGCTCTTTAGCTTCTTTTTTAAAAAAAAAAAAAAAAGGAGTCTCGGGTTCGATTCCAGTTAAGGGCACATACCCACATACCTCAGTTGAGGTTTGGTCCCCAGCCCTGGTCGGGGCTGTGCAGAAGGCAACCATTTGATATATTTCTCTTGAATCGATGATTCCCTCTCTTTCTCCCTCCCTTCCACTCTATCTGAAGATAAATAAACCAAAAAAAATATCCTCAGGTGAGAATTAAAAAAAAAGGCACTGAAAGATTCTATTATATTACTCCTCTATTTTTAAAGAAATAAGTGATAGTTCCAGAAACATAACAAAAATATTTGCAAGTACGGATAAAAGACCAGAAATGTTTATATTTGAAGGCCCACTATAATCTGTCTCTTCACATTACAAATTTTAATTCTATAATTCTTGACCCATAAATTATCATTCATCAATTCTAACCCGAGTCTAAAATGTTGAGGTTTTGAGTTGTGGAATGCTCTGGGGGACAGAATAGGAGGGTTCTGGGTAACCTTTTCTTGTCCCACCCTAGCCCTAGCTCGAAATCCTTCTCATACCAAGGCCTCCTTTCCACTAAGCTTTCCATCTTGGCTTTGTGGTGCATGAATACTCTTGCGAGTTGATCTTCTTCTTATTAGACTGGATCCTGAATCTTTTGGAGACATTTCCAGGGCATCCATTTCACTTTTTGATTCACTAATTTCATTTTCTACTTCAATTTCATTTCCTGTTGTCTAAAATGAACAAGATATATGCATAAACTGGTTAGGCTCAGTTAACCAATGAAAATTAATCAATGAATATCAGATATCAAGGAAAATGGTAATCTGAGTAAAGATACAGGAAAGTATAATGTTAAACTGCTATTTCTCTTTTTGTAATACATTTGAAAATTAAAACCACTAAATAAGGATTCCCACTAAATATGCCAAAATAAGATTGTACCCACTCCACGTAGCTGAGCTAGTCATTTCTGTTTTGTGGGTGTTTTTGGTTCAATCATGTTTGATTTAGTTCAGTGCTGTCAACAGAAACACAGTACAAGCCATACTGTGAGCCACAGTTGTCATTTAACATTTTCTCAGTAGCCACATTAATAAGTGTGAGCCTGGCCAGTGTGACTCAGTGGTTGAGCATAGACCCATACACCAAGAGGTCGCCAGTTAGATTCCTGGTCAGGGCACATGCCCAGGTTGTGGACCAAAACCCAAGTAGGGGGCATGCAAGAGGCAGCCAATCAATGTTCTCTCTCATCGATGCTTCTCTCTCTCCCTCTTTCTTCCTCTCTCTCTAAAAATCAATACAGAAAAAAAATTTTTAAATAAATTAATTTAAAAAATAAAAAGTGTGAGAGAAGTAAAATCAAATTTAATTATAGATTGTATTTAATCTAATGTATCCAAGACAGGAGCATTTTAACACGTAACAAATACAAATATTCGAGATATTTGCATTCGTTCCTTGCACTAAGTCTTCAGAAGCTGGTATGCATTTTCTACTTACAAACACTTCGATTCAGATAACCACTGTTCTGGACAAGAGCCACATGTGGCTACCACAGTGTGTAGCTCACCTTTAAACCTTTTCAGACTTTTAACTTTCTCTAATTATCCTTCTTTATTTTCCCTCCTTTAAAGAGAAAATAAAATGTCTAAAACAGTGGTTTAATCCTGAAGCCCTCAAGTATTTTTTTTCCACTTCTCAAGATAGTCAACTTTCATTTACTTATAGCACTAAACACAGCAAAATTAGCGTATACCTGATACTTTAGGAAAATCTAGAGTTATACTATACCTGCATTGTGACAAGTCTGAAGTAAATGCCCTTCTCTTTCATGAGTTCATCGTGATTTCCTTTCTCCACGATGACTCCATTATCAAAACCAGCGATGACATCGGCGTTACGAACTGTAGACAACCGGTGGGCGATCACAATGGTGGTCCGGCCTTTTCTGGCCTAAAGACAGAAAAATTTGACTTTTGAACACAAGGACAATTTTATGTAAAAATTTATTCATTCAATTTGTACTGACTATCAATGCCTTAGACATTGTAAAACCATCCATGCTATATAGTCTCTGGCTTCAATAAACATACAACCAGCCCTGGCCGGTTTGGCTCAGCGGTTAGAGTGTCGGCCTGCGGTCCGGAGAGATCCGGGTTCGGTTCCCGCTAAGGGCATGTACCTCGGTTGCAGTTTGTCCCCGGCCCTGGTTGGTCGTGCGGGTGGCAGCCACTCGATGTGTCCCTTTCACATCGATGTTTCCTTCTCTCTTTCTTCCTCTCTCTCCCTCCCACTCTGTCTGTACAAAAAATGGAAAAATGTCCTCGGATGAGGATAAAAAAATAAATAAATAAATAAATAAATAAACGTACAACCAATTGATAATGGTTTAAATTGTGTTTTATTATAATAAAGATAAGTACAAATATGATAGTCACATATTAATAGTATTTACACCTCTAAGTATTTTACTCAACCTCTATCAGCCTAAGTTTACAGTAATAATCAGGGGTTTATACAAAGTAAAAAACCCTACAGCCAGGCATTGGCCAATCAGAGCAGGCACAGGCCAGTGTGCCACACTAGCTATTTCACAGGATATTTGGATGATCAATACAAACAATAAGTAGAAGTCAGTGAGATGGACTTCAACAGCACATTAATCTGAGCTCGTATCTTAGTTCTGCCATTTATGAATTCCAGGGTTTTATCCAATTCCTTTAACTGGCATGAGGCTCAATTTATTCAAATATAAAGTGGGGATAATAATACTACTCATTTTTTAGACTCAATTGTGATGACTAAATAAAATAATGTACATGAAGCATTAGGACATACATATAGAAGTACTAAATAAAGGATACACTGCCTAGGTGAAGCAGTGTAGAAACGCTGGAGAGCTATGTAAATGTTTTATTTATTTTTTTTCCTTTTTACATTTTTTTATCTTTATTGTTGAATGTATTACAGATATTCCTCATTTTTCCCCCATTGACCTTCTCCTCCCCACTCCTGTCCCAATCCTGCCTTTCCCCACACTGTTGTCGGTGTCCATTGATTATGCATATATGCATATAAGTTCTTTGGTTTATTTCTTCCCACCCCCCAATCCCCCATCCCTTTGAAGTTTGTCACTCTAGCAACCAATTTATACTTCTTAATCCCTTCACCTTCTTCACCCATTCCCCCAAACCCCCTCCCATCTGGCAACCAACAAAATGTTCTCTGTATCTATGAGAATGTTTCTGTTCTGCTTGTTCATTTTGTTTGTAGATTCAATTGTCGATAGATATATATTCATTGCCATTTTGTTTGTTCAAATTTTTTATCTTTTTCTTCAAAAAGAACCTTTGACATTTCATATAATAATGGCTTGGTGGTGATGAACGCCTTTGGTTTTTCCTTGTCTTGGAAACTCTTTATATGGCCATCAATTCTAAATGACAGCTTTGCAGGATAGAGTAATCTTGGTTGTAGGTTCTTGTGTTTCATCACTCTGAATATTTCTTGCTATTCCCTTCTGGCCTTCAAAGTTTCTTTTGAGAAATCAGCTGACAGTCTTATGGGACCTCCCTTGTAGGTAATTAACTGCTTTTCTCTTGCTGCCTTTAAGATTCTCTCTTTGTCTTGAACCTTTTGTATTTTGATGATGATGTGTCTTGGTATGGGCCTCTTGGGGTTCATCTTGTTTGGGACTCTCTGTGCTTCCTGGACTTGTATGCTTGTTGCCTTCACCAAGTTAGGGAAGTTTTCTGCCATTATTGTTTCAAATAGGTTTTCGATTTCTTGTTCTCTCTCTTCTCCTTCTGGCACCCTCAAGATGTGAGTGTTGGCACGCTTGAAGTTGTCCCAGAGGCTCCTTATACTATCCTCATTTATTTGGATTATTTTTTCTTTTTGTTGTTCTGATTGGGTATTTTTTGCTTCCTTATATTCCAAATCGATGGTTTGCTTCTTGGCTTTACCTACTCTACTATTGAATCTGTGTAAATTATTCTTTATTTCAGTTAGTGCCTCCTTCATTTTTGACTGGTCTAATTTTATGCTCTTGAGGCCCTCACTAAGTTCACTGAGGTTCTCACTAAGTTCACTGAGCATCCTTATAAGCAGTGTTTTAAACTCAGCATCTGTTAGGTTGCTTATCTCCATTTTGCTTAGTTCTTTTCCTGGGGTTTTGTTCTATTCTTTCATTTGGGACCTGTTTCTTTGTCTCCTCATTTTGGTTACCTCCCTGTGTTGCTTCATGAGAGGTATGGTGCTATCTGACACCAGATGCTGCTTGTTTGAAATAATTTAGGAAAACCTGAAGCAGAATCCAAGACAGGCCAATCCTATGGTAAAGCAACTGGCAACAGCTTCAATGGGCCTCAAAGTTGTGTGGGGCGGGGTCTCAGGGAGTCATCAGGGCGGGGCTACCAGTGTGAGTCACGTTGCTGGATTCCCAGATATGGCGGCTGTCTGCCGCCCCACGGAAGGGCTCACCAAAAGAACGAAGGCCTCTGACAGCACGTCTGTCCCGGAGAAAGCCCCCTCTCCAGCCCTCGCTCCAGTGCCAAACAGCTCAGTTCTTCCCTGTATGTCTCTGGCGCCCCTCGAGCTGCCTCCCCTCCAAGCTGAGAGAGAGTAAGTCCGATAAGTCTGTGCACAGGCCCTTTAAGAGCAGCTGCCTGGGGCTCCAGCCGCCTCAGGTTCCCTGAGCCTCAGTTCATGCTGGTTTTCCAACCAGAAGTTATGGGGACTTCTCTTCTGGAACCCTGAGTGGGACACCTGGTATGGGATGGGGACCCCCCTCAGTCCTCAGGGAAGACCTTCCCAGCCGAGGTATCCTCCTGATTTTTATCTGCCACACGTGGGTGTGGGACCAGCCCGTCTGCCTCAGCCCCTCCCACCAGTCCCAATGAGGCTGCTTCTTTAATTTTGTCATTGTAGGACTTCATTCAGTTCGATTTCAGGCAGTTCTGAATGATGGCTGTTCTGTAGTTTAGTTGTAACTTTGATGTGGTTGTGGGAGGACGCGATACTACGTTTTCCTATGCCACCATCTTGACCGGAAGCTCTGAAGAGCTATGTAAATGTTTTAAATTGTCAATGTCATTTCTATTTTAATATGAAACGCAGCCAGATAACCAGAACTTGTCTGAGATTTCTTTAGGCTTTGTAACTTTCTCAATGCTTATGATTTCTGTCACTCTATTTTTCTCCAGGAACTAGTAATAAAATTCTCAAAACAAACTAAAAAAAAAATGAAAGGTATCCAGATCGATATGAAACAAAGCAGAAAACTCCAAGGAAAAAACAAACAAACATGTAGGTAGTGGCAACTAGAAAGTAGATAAGACAATGGCTCAAAAATCTTTGGTTGTTTTCAAGAAAAGGATAATAAAACCTTATTTTTAAATGCAACCTTTTAAAACAGTTTTTTTAAAAAAATAATTTAATACATAGTTCTATTGTAGAATAATAAGAAAACACAGATGTGCAATTACAGATAAGCACAATGAAGGAGGAAAACGCCACAATTTTGGATCACACAATTTTTATAACCTTTTTCCCCCCTCAACAATCTATTAAGCACAATGACAGGATGTTTAAAGGAACACACAGTGTTGTTTTATTATTAGAGAGAGGAAGAGTTGGAACAAATACAAGTTCATCTTTGAATTCTACTGTGACACTGCGACTCAGAGCGCTTTCGGGTTAAAAGGTCTCCACATTCCCCGTCCTCACAGAGCTGGCCTGGTTGCCACTATATGCCAGAGACGCGCCCCCAGTGCCTGGCACAGAACACCACTCATATCCAATTTGGTGAATGAGTCACATGGACTCAAGAATTACAGGAAGGTCAAACCCAGTTGATAGTCAAGGGCATTCCGTGCCCCTCTCCTGGGGATAAGAGGTTTCTAATTTCTCACAGAGTCTTCATCGGACATTTAACATCTTGGAAATTAAATGTGACCCTTCAGATTATATTTTCGCCTTCTTGACAAAAGTTAAAACTCACCAAACCTCAATTACGAGGTTACCTCTAAAGCTATGTTTTCAGGATTACGATGAAGGCCAATTTTTCTCTGAGTCTGTATTTATCATTGTTTAATTTAAAAAATTTTCAAGTACCTTTCAATGAAAATGTATTTATCTCTACTCAAAAAAAATAAATAAATAAATAAACAGAAATTAAACAAACAGATCCAGAAGTCTGGTTATTTTATTTTGATAGTGGAAGAAATCACTTTAGAAGCGATTGAAAATTTCCTTTTTTAAAAATAAAACTAAGGCCCTGGCTGGGTAGCTTAGTTGGTTAGAGCATCGTCTTGAACCCAAGGTTGTGGGTTCAAACCCCGTTCAAGGCACACAGAAGAAGCAACCAATGAATGCATAAATAAGTGGAACAACAAATTGATTCCCCACCTCTCTCTCCCCATTGCTCTCTCTCAAAAAAAAATCAATAAATGAAAATAATACTAAGAATAATTTATGGTGAGATGTTCTTATGCTTATAAATCAGGTTGGTTTGAGCTGAGGCTCACAGACCTTATCCAGGGCCACCTGAACCACTGCTTCGCTTTCCGTGTCCAAGGCTGATGTGGCCTCATCCAGCAGCAGGATCTTGGGGTTGCGAACCAGGGCTCGGGCGATGGCGATTCGCTGCTTCTGTCCGCCACTCAGCTGTGCGCCTCTCTCCCCAACCAGGGTGTCAAATTTCTACAACAGAAAACATGGAGGACTTAGCAAAAGAACAAGGTACCTCAGCTCCCATTTTAAGATGGGAAGGAATCTCCTAAACAATGCCAGCCTCACAGGTAATATGATCCAGTTACTTGAAACTTAGGGTTTAATAATCAACCTTAATTTAAAAAAAAATATGACTGCTTTGGTTAACCAAAGAACTTATATACATATATGCATAACCAATGGACATAACAGTGTAGTGAAGGCCTGGGGTGGGGCAGGGGCTGGGAGGTGGAAGGTAAAGGGGGGGAAAATTGGGGGACATCTGTAATACTGTCAACAATAAAATTAAATTAAATTAAAATGAAAATAAATAAAAATATGACTGCTGCCAGAGCTTTAAAATCTGAAGTAATCTGAATTTCCTCTCTTAGGAGGTTCCTCAGTTTATAGTTTCCTAACTTGTTATGCATTAGGTCAGCATTCTATTGTTTGAACCTCTAACATGACAAAGATCAAAAAGGACTTACATTAGGCAGTTTCATGATAAAGTCATAGGCATTGGCTTCCTTGACAGCTTTCTCAATCTCCTCCATGGTGACATTTTCACGGCCATAGCGAATGTTTTCAGCTATTGTGGTGGCAAACAACACGGGTTCCTGACTCACCACGCCGGTTATTTCCCGCAGATACCTTACATTTATGGTTCTAATGTCCTGTCCATCAATACTGACCTGAAATAAAAAATAAGTGTGACTTTCACACACAGCAGAATTGTAGCGTGTGATCTGCAATGGTACTGCTGATCACTGCAGCACCTAGTTCAGCAAACGACACCTCACCATGCCCTCTGTGGGGTCGTAGAGCCGCTGCATCAGCTGGACGGTTGTGCTTTTCCCACAGCCACTGTTCCCAACCAGGGCCACCGTCTGCCCACTCTGCACCTGCAGGTTGAGGCCCTTCAAGATCTACCAGGACAATTAAGAAACAAATTTAAAAGCAATACACAGATACTGGGCCTATGAATTAACAGTTGAATTCAAAACGAGGTTTAGATATTCATATTCTTTTACAATTGCTAAAGAAAAGTATCAGAAACTGTTTGTCCAATACATCATTGAATCATTGATTAATCATTTATCATTGTACCTTAACTTCTTTTCGAGATGGGTAACTGAAGTGAACATTTGTGAATTCCAAATTTCCCTTAATATTATCTGGTTTGTGCCCATTCTTCGAATAGCTGTCAATGCTTGGCTTCTAAACAGAATAAAATTTCAGAAGATTACTAGGTTACAACTACTTTTAGTGGCATTTGTAGAGAACTGGAACAAATGATAAAGAAATGTACTTTTAACTAGAATAATAGCCAGCCTAGACTTACATTATCAATTATCTTGAAGATTTCATATGCTGCTCCTCTTGCATTTGCAAATGCCTCAATGCTTGGAGATGCCTGCCCAATACTAAAAGCCCCAATTAATACAGAGAAGAAGACCTGAGGAATATGAAGAAAAACCATTGAGTTATTTAGGTTTTGTGTGATACAATTTTTTTCAGTTCAGAACATTATAATAGAATATTTTAATATTTCTTGAATAGCCAAGAATTTTAGTTTAGATCATCAGCAAAGGATAGTAGAACTAACCCCTAGTAGGAGACAGAGAAGTCTAGGTCTGAATCTTGGATTAAGCACTAACTGGCTATATGTCTTCACGCAATTCTCAAGTTTCTGGGCTTTGATTTCTTTATTTGCAAAAACAAGCAAGATGCTGTTTTCCCTACCCAGCAACCTAGAGCTGGTGTATCAAATGAAACAGTATTTATAAAAATGTTTTATAAATTATAAAGCACACATACCTAAGGCATTATTAGGTTGTCTCTTTTTTCTTCCCTCTACCAAACTGTGTTCTCTTTGAAGACTGATAAACAGGTTTTTGTTTTTTTTCATTTTGCTCAAATCAGTTTCTTATTGATAAAGAGAATTAATGTCCCTATTCATTACTTTCTAAATCACACAGTAATTACAGTACCCAATAATTTACATAGAAGGAATTGTGCTAAGTGATTCTACATTCAATTTATCAATTAGTCCTTATAACAGTAGCGCTATTTCTATTTGGCAAAGGAGGTATGAAAAATGAACCAAGTGACACTTCTAATAATATGTACTTTATTACACAAGATGCTGATTGAGCTTGGTTAGCGATTTATTTCATTGTCTTTAAATACGAAAGGATGGCACCAAATGGCAAGCCTTCTAAATTTGTCCAAAGATCTATAAGGTCTCTAGAGAACCTCCAAACAGCACATTCTTTTAGGAAGAGTAACAATGTATACTTCCATATATTGCTGAGGTGTACTAACTGTCACTCAAAAGATTTTTGAAAGAAAATTAAAGTGTATTTTTCCATTTGTTGTTATAAATAGTAAATCAGAAAATAAAAGTAAAATGCTTAGCACAGTGTCTGGCACAAAGAAATAATCTCAACTAATGAAAAGTGCATGCTAACCTGGCCAGTTTGGCTCAGCGGTTAGAGCGTCGGCCCGTGGACCAGAGAGTCCTGGGTTCTGTTCCCGCTAAGGGCACCTACCTCGGTTGCAGTTTGTCCCCTGCTCTAGTTGGTGTTGTGCAGGTGGCAACCAGTTGATGTTTCTCTCTCACATCTATGTTTCTCTCTCTCTCTTCCTCCCTCTCTCGCTCCTGTACTATCTGTAGATGGGTGCAGAAATGTCCTTGGGTGAGGATAAAAATAAAAATAAAAAATAAGTAAAAAAGAAAAGTTCATGCTATAGAGACTGGAGATGTTAACATTATTTAGGCCACAGGATAAACTATGCAAAAGGATTTTAAAAAAAGACAAAACTGTTTGTTGAATACATCTAATTTCTTTACCACTTCTTAACCTAGTAGTGCATGTCTCTTTGAGTTATTCAATCATCCTTCAAAATATATTCTCCAACAGTCAAGCCAATACCACACTGCAATTTCATTGGCATTTTTAATAGTGATTTTGTTCTTAATATAAGATCACTTACAGTGAGTACTTTTCCAATAGAATACTGTCCTGAGAGGACCAACGTGGTCCCATACCAGAATGCCAGCGCATATGATGCATAGATCAGCAGGAAAGCAGCCCCTATAGAAATGTTGGCCGTAATAGCTTTCCTTATCCCAATTCTTTTAGCTTCTTCTAAATTTTTGTTGTACCTGGGAGGAATAACAAAAATGATCACATATACTCATAAGCTTATGAAATAGGTCAGTACAGCATGATGCTTACTGAGGACTTAGAATGTACCCAGCCCTGAGGTAGGTGTTTTACATGTATTTTCTCCTTTTGTCCATACATTGACACTATCACATTAGTGTTATTTAATCTCTTCTTGTAGAAGAGTAAACTGACACTTACAAAGATTAAGTAATTTGTAGGGGAGTCTTCTAAAAGCCTCTTCTCTGGCCTTAGCAATAGTGAAATAAGTGAAATAATATTTAGCAAACTTCTGAAATTGGCAATGTTTCATACATAAGACAACACAGATGCTGTGAACACTGTGCTTTCCCTTTAAAATCTGCCTGCTTGTTAAATGTATTAGTAAAATGAAGATATGATGCTAAAAAGTGTTCGACATAAGGAAGTCCTTTAAACCTCTGAATGTCACAGAAGCTTTGGAGACAGGGTGCCCCATCCTGCATCCATCCTTCTGGGACTACTAGAAAAACCAACTAAAAGAATACAAGTGAGGAAAAGGGTGAAGAAATAAAATGGTGTCACTATGGTTAAGTTGCTAAATTCTTCAAATCAAGTTGGCTGAGGCATGAGGAAATATCTCTATTCTTGCTTTAACCATCCAGGAAACTTAAACTTTTGAACTTTTCAGTCTTGCATCAATGCCCAGACATTTACTTACCTGTACACAACCCTCTGACCATCCTCTAAATAACTAAGAACATGACCAGACACCCTGGTGCCTATCCTCCATACCACCTAGCATCCGTCATCCAGACTACCTGACATCTGACTGGTAACTGTTCTGGACCAATCCTAGGGCTAACAATGCAGGACTGATCATTCTCAAGGATGTGACTTAGTTATCATAAAAACTCTTAACTTTTCTTTTTCTTTTTTTTTTTAATGAATTAATTTATTTTTGTTACAGATATTTCTCGTTTTTCTCCCACTGATTCCCCCCTCCTCCGCCCTCCCCACCCTGTCCCCAGCTTTAGAACTCTTTTCTTTCCTCTTTGGAAGACTTCTGGGTTTTTGCCTAGCTGTGTTTCTAGTTTGCATACTCTAAGACCCTTGAGTAAATCTTTTGTCATTTATTCCTAGCAAAGTCTCCCAGACTCTTTTGAGTTTGTTCAACACATGTGCAAGAGCACTGAGTTGTGAATTGCTATATAATACATTTTACATTTAAATAAACTGTATAGTTTATCTTATTTCCATAGTCATTTATGTTATTTTAATTAAAAATTTTTAAATTGATTTTAGAGAGAGAGGAAGGGGGGGGGGAGAGGGACATCAATGTGAGAGAAAAACATCGATGAGTTGCCTCTTGTACACACCCCGATCGGGGATGGAACCTACAACGTGGGTATATGTCCTGACTGGGAATTGAACTCACAACCTTTTGGTGTAAGGGATGACATTCCAACCAACTGAGCCACACCGGCCAGGACCACAGACATTTATTTTAAAAATCAGTGATCTGAAAAAATGATCAGGCTTAAAGATATATAATAATCCCTCATTATGTATCAGCATCCCCTTCCTCAGTCTCTCCACACCTTGCTGACATCCTGTTCCTCTGCCAGTGCCTCCAACTGGGTCATGTCCTGGCTGCCCACTGCTGAAGGAAGGGGCTTGGGCCACCCAAGTCCTTCTGGCTGCCTCAAGAACTGAGAAAATAAACATCTCAGCACATCTAGAACCCTGTAACTTGTCCACAGCACAAAAATCTCTACTCTTATTAGTCAAACTTGGAGAATACCCATTAATACTCCTCACAGAACATACAGCAAATTCAGTCAATTTCAATTCAGTGATCTTTAAAACAAACGTCTATGAAAATAAGATAAACTATACAGGTTATTTAAATGTAGAAAGTGTTACATAGTACTTCAAAATACACAAAATAGGCAAAAGCAAGGAAGCAAACAAAAAACAAAAACAGCGATGGAGTCTGCTGACAAATTTCTCCTGCCAGTTCTAAGGACTTAAAGTGCACTCCCAAATGCTAATTCTGGTACTTTTTAAACCTTTGGGGAACAGTTCATTTCTGATGTTAGAATTAAAGGAGATGGGTCTGTAACTTGATCTTCATTTGAAAGGAACACAGCAGACTATTTTGTTCAAAAAGACAGATGTGAAGATAAGATAATGGGGCCCAAATTTAAAGAAAAGGAAGGATCTTTGGAAATACAGAATCAAGGTAATATTACTAGGGAAACAGGACAGATTATAATTAAACATTAAATCTCTCTTTATTCTAGTAATCACAGCTCCCTGCAGAATTTAGAACACTGACTTATTGAAAGGAGTTCATAACTGTTGAGATAAAAGAACTTATTTCCACATAAAATTCATATTTTGAGTTCTTTAATCCACAAAAACATGACTATATAAATATTATATTTATTTTCTTTGGAAGTTTGTTCCACTAGCATGTACCAGAGTTCAAGCCCTCCTCAGATATGAACATGCCTTCTGTCTCGCCTGCATGACTTTTTAACTAGCAACTTTACCAGTTAGAAAAGTATGGCAAATAAAATTTACATGACCCCCCCCCCCCATTCATTGAAGATCACATTTAAACAGTGATAAAATAATAACATATTATTACAGCTTCTTTCTCCAAAAAATGTCAATCCCCAACTTGCCAGTTATAATCTTTGAACAAAAAATGAGTTTTGAGAAACGTGTGATATATATTGAGTAACTCCCACTTCATGAATTAACCTGAGGTGGAAAGTGCTACAAGGCATAAATTACCATGATTACATTTAAGGAACCTCAACAGTCATGACATGCCCTGTTATCTCCTTCACTTCAGTTCTTGCTTACCGGGACTAACGCAGAAATCATTTCACTGACAAGTTGTCGCGTGCAGCCAGAGGAAACGTTTGCACGGGAAGAAACAACAGCAAGGATGAAAATCATTTAGATACCAGAAAAGATAAATGAAGAAAAGAAAGGGGGAAGGAGGAGGGAGACATAATACTTCTTTCACTTTTTGATTAGCATTTCCATAAAAAATGTCACAATACAAAATCAGCTTTAAATTCACTAAAAGCATGAATATGAAATGACAATTAAAATAGGAGCTAAAATGGACTAACGTCACATAGCAAACACATTGATTTTTTTTTAAAAAATCTTAAATATTATAAAAATATTTATCAGTGATGCAATAGCCACTTCTAAGAGCAAGGAAAAATTTTAACTAAGGAAATAAAAATCAATACCAATAGGTAAACATTTGCAAGACACAGAGAGAAAAAAAGTTTTTAGTTAAGGAGAACAAAACAATTTTCTACTAATTAAATTCATTTAAAATTCTGGTTAATTTTCATTTTAAGAGAGCTAGTTTCCTCCTGCACCTGCTAATCTGAAGAGAAAGACTGAAGTAGACCGTAGTTACTTATCTGTTTAGAAGCAGAGAAGGGAAAAGGAACTGGAAAGAAAACTGAAGGGTTATATTTGGTCTCAGAATAGTTTTATCAATTATACTTCCAAATTATATCCCAAATCTATGTACTGGTCACCTAACTCCTGCCAGCAGTCTAGACCAGGCCAAAATAAGCCCTCACCTGGACCACTACTGTATCCTTCCCACTGGTCTACCCGTCTCTACTAATTAAATGCTCTCATCTATTCACCAGACCAATTACAGACAGAGAAATAATCTTAAACATAATATGGACACTTGTTCCCTTATTTAAGATCCTCAATCCCTTCCCCATGCCCTTGGAATAAAATCCTAACTCCTCACCATAGTCTGCAATTCCCGTTATGGCCCGACCCACCTACGACAGCCTCTCTTCACTCAATCTCCCCTTACTCAGCTGAGTTCCAGTCACACAAACCTTGTATTTCCTAGAACAGATCAAAGTCATTCCACCTCAGGAAATCTGGAAGACTCTTCTGTTCCCCACCCCCACCCCCAACACACCCTGGAAGGCCATTTCTCATCCCTCAAGTGTCAGCCTTAATGAAACCTCCTCACAGATGCCTCCTGACCACCATATTTAAAGTAAACTTGGTCCTGGCAGGTTTGGCTCAGCAGTCAGAGCGTCGGACTGCAGTTCAGAGACCCGGGTTTGGTTCCTGCTAAGGGGCATATATCTGCAGTTTGTCCCTGGCCCTGGTTGGTCATGCAGGTGGCAGCCACTCGATGTGTCCCTTTCACATCAATGTTTCTCTCTCTCTCTCCTTCCCACTCTACCTGAACAAAAAAATGGAAAAATGTTCTCGGGTGAGGGTAAAAAAAGTAAACTTGTCCTCCTCCCCTTCATCAGCACACTCTTTGATTCTTTCATAGCATGTTTTAAAAATCTTTAATTTAATTCATTTCTTTGATTTCTTTCTTCTATTCCTTCTTCCTTTCCTTCCTTCCTCCATTTGTTTCTACCTTATTATTTTGACTAAGGATCACACAAGGGCAAACAAATATCCTCTATTTCTGATTCACTGAAAACCCAGACCCTACCACAGTGCTTGCGTGTGGCAGATGCTGGCTAAATCTGTTGAATAAATGAATTTTCAAGAAATGGCCAAGCTGGAAAGAACCTTAGGCCTCCAGGCTATAGTCCTAAATCAACTTTAATCACCAGGCAAAACTAATTTCCAATTTTCCAAGGGAGGGTGTCTTTTCAAAGACACATCCCAGTAGCTATTATTTTCTGTAGAAATGATTCCACATATAAATGAATCTTTGAATATAGCTTTGTAGGCCCATTTGCTTTTTCTTATAATAAAAAGTTGATCACCATCTTCTCTAGGAAAAAAAATCTTTCTGTACCTACTCATTAAAGCACTCCATTTGAAAAATATCTTAATTCCACCTGACCAGTGTGGCTCAGTGGATTGAGTGTCGTGCCATGGACTAAGAGTCCCTGGTTGATTTCCTGTAAGGGCACATGCCCAAATTTCAGGCTCCATCCTTATTAGGGGGCATGCAGGAGGCATGTTATCTTAATTCCTTTACAGTTTTAGTGAACTAAAATGTTCAGATTCATCTAAGTTCTGGATATTGAACTTGACTCCCATAATGCACTTTTCCTTCTACCCAGGTTACTTACATCCCATATCTCATTATAATTTTGTTGCTAATAATAATATCTTTCTAAAGTATCATATTTCTCAAACATAGGATGTCATTTATTGTAAGAAGTGTTGATATTCTGTTATTTTACGTAGCATCAAAAAAGGAGTTTAATAGGACACTTCATATACAGGTGGGACCCAAAGGGCTAGAGCCTCAGTATAATAAGCACATGCCACAAAGAAAGTGATAATAGGAGAACCTGTGTTTCAACCTTGGCAACAGGTAAAGGCAGGGAGGGAAAAACAACTTTCCCTGGGGCTTTGAACCATAGGACAGTACTCATGCAGGTCTGAAGTATGAATTAAACTACCGGTGGAGACAAAGAATGTAAGGTGGCCTCAGGTTAATAGTACCCCCAGGGAATGGTGCAGACCCAAATCCCTCAAGGAAGAATGGGCCTCCATCCAGATCCATAGAAACTGTAAGAAGACACTGACTGTAGGATTTATCTCAATGCCAGAGATGATAAGTTATGACAGAAAAATGTGCATCTTAGAACTAATGCAATACTATATATTTTGTAATTGTTCACTGCTATCTCACAGGAATGCCAATTTTTTTTTTTTTTTTTTTCTGAATCGTGATCAGGTACTCAGATATTACTTGATGCCATTAGTCTGCAGACTCTACAGGAATTTCTATGCATACAATCATATCATCTGTGGATAATGAAAATTTTGCTTTTTATTTTCCAACCATTATAGCTTTAATTTCTTTTATTTTTGTTTATTATCCTTACTCTCTGTTTCCTTGGCCTGCAGAATACTAGAAATTCAGACCCTTACTGCACATGAGGTATAGGCCTGAGATTGTTATTTCTATGGGGCAATGCTTTTCCCAGCTCCGAAACCAGGCAGAAGCAGATAAGCTTTGCTTCTATGCTGGTGGACATGTTTTTCTGATCCACCTTTCCATTGAGGAAAACTAGAAAGAATCTCAAATTCAAAACTTCATTCTGTGCCTGCTGACACATGAACTAATCAGAAAGGACTTTCTGGATAATATCTCTACATAGAACCCCCTATGACTCTAAAAAAGTATTTTATTTCCCAATAATATATACTCTACCTAGTATATTAAGTATTTTGTTTTTGGTGGTTTTTTTTTTTTTTTTTTTTGTCCTCTGCCTGTTAGAATTTAAGCTCCAGGAGAGGAGGGGCTCTATCTAACTGGATGTTTGCTTTGTTTTTAAGAAAGGCTTCACAGTTTAGTAGTCACACATATTTTAAGGGAAGAGTAAAAACCTTAGCAAAAAGTCAAGATAGGTCTTTCCTTGGGACTATGGTACTACATCCTTACAAATGATTCTCATCTTTGTGGGGTAAAATATATCATATGAACAAAAGTACTCAAGCCCCGCTGGTGCAGCTCAGTGGTTGAGCATCAACCCATGCACCAGGAGGTCGCTGGTTCAATTCTCAGTCAGGACACATGCCCAGGTTGTGGGCCAAATCCCCAGTCGGGGGTATGCAGAAGGTGGCCAATTGATGTTTTCTCTCATCGAAGTTTCTATCTCTCTCTCCCTCTTCCTTCGTCTCTCTTTAAAATCAATAAAGAAAAAAAGAATACTCCAAAGACATATGTATAGTTTAAAGAATAATTATATAGCAAACACCCATTTGACCACAACTGAGGTTAAAAAAGAAAACCCCCACTGGTAATCTACAATTCCTCATCTCCTCAAGAGGTGATCGTTACTCTGATTTATAAAAATTCCCCTGTTTTTCTTTATGGCTCTACCAAACAATGTATACTCTCCCAAACAATATAGTTTAGTTTTTCCTATTTTCAAAAAAATATTCATAACTAAAATACTATAATTTCAGATGTTATTTTAAGTAAATTCTGTTGCTGCTCAGTAATCAATAGGTCTGATATTATAAATTTCAATAAATTACCATCTATACTCAGAAAATATTAGACAACACACTGTAAAAAAGATTTTTAGCTTTTGTACATATGTGCTTTTTAGTTACATTTTAATCTTCCAAATCATGGAGCATAACTACTGATTAGGGGCCGGGCAAGAGGGAACACGAAACACAGATTAACATGCCCCATAGATCAAGGATGGTATATATCAATTATATCAAATAAATAAATAAATAGATAAATAAATAAATAAGAATTTACTTGATAGAAACAATTATTATCAGGAATATAATATTTGTTTCAGTGCTAAGAAACTATTTTTATGTCACTACTTACCTAGGAAACTCTAGGAAACGCTCTGAATTAGCAGACATAAGAAGAGATTCACAGATACAGAGAACAGACTGATGGTTGCCAGAAGGGAAGGGGTTTTGAGGACTGGGTGAAAAAGCTGGAGGGATTAAGAAGTACAGATTGGTAGTTACAGAGTAGTCCCAGGGATGTACAATACAGCATAGAGAATACAGTAAATAATATTGTAATAACTATGTATGGGGCTAGGTGGGTACTTGAAATACCCAGGGAACATCTTGTAAAGTATATAATTGTCTAAGCCCTATGATGTATACCTGAAACTAATACAGAATAATACTGAATATAAACTGTAACTAAAATTTTTTAAATGGTCAGAAAACAAAACCAAGTACATAACATTAACTAAAAAAGAAGAGTACAACTAGAATTACAACTTCTCCAGAATATTAGACATTCTGTAATATGGATGAAACTATTTATTTTTTAAATTTATTTATTTTTTAATTTTTTTTTTTTTCATTTATTGATTTTTAGAGAAAGGAAGTGAGAAGGAGAGAGAGATAGAAACATGGATGAGAGAGAACATCGACTAGCCACCTCCCGCATGTCCCCCACTGGGGATCAGGCCCACAACCTGGGCATGGGCCCTGACCAGGAATCAAACCAGCGACATCTTGGTGCATGAGTCGATGCTCAACCATTGAGCTACACAGGCTGGACTGGATGAAGCTATTTTAAGAAACATATATTTATTGGAGAAAAGCCTTATAATCAACATTGTCAATCTGAAGAACATAGAAGATGGCATAGAATTTAACATTTCTATCAACTTAAAAAAAAAGAGATTCAAACCTTTCAAGTTCTTTCTTTTGTCCTCCAAAAGCAATCACAGTTCGAATAGCTGCTAAGACCTCCTCAGCTACTGCTCCAGCTTTTGCATATGCAAAGAGTTCTTTATCAGTAAATGAAGATAGTATCTGTTTAAAAATGCAATTTCAGACAAGGTAAATTTTTAACAAGTTAATTTTATCATTTGTAAAGTAAAAATAAATATATACACAAATGCTGTTTGTGTGTATATGCATAGAACAAAATCTGTCTTTTACTTGGTTTTGGTCATGACATTCTAATTTTTAGTACATATATTCACTCTGTAAACTACTTATATTACTTATGGACTGAGCTGCTATATAACAGATTCAGTTAAAACTTATATTTTCTCTTCCTGGCCACTGTGGCTCAGTTGGTTGAGCGTAGTCCTTCCTATGCACCAAAAGGTCATGCCAGGATTCTGGGCTTGATCCCCAGTAGGGGGCGTGCAATGTTTCTCTTTCCCAAGCCAGAGGAAGCTGGCACTTCTGAGCAAAACAATACATGCAGCCACCAGGGAGAACTTTGTTTCATGGATATTCTTTGATCATTCAGTTTGGTTCCTGAGCATTTATTCTGTAGAAGAAACAGTACTGGGTACTTTATACACACAGGATCTCATTTATTCTTCTCAATCGCACAGTGAAGCAGGTACTATTTCCCCCACTTTACATGTGAGGAAACAGAGGGATGAAGAGGTTACATAATTTTACAAATAAATAAAATATCCAGGATTCAAGCCTGACTCCATATGGCTTCAAAGCCTGAATTAACAGCCACTGGAGGAATTCTGTCTCTGAAATCCGCCGCTGACACGGTCCCAGAGAGCCCTATTATGAAAACCGAATCACCTGGCATGTTACTATTTATAACTGGAATGCGTAAGTAGTCAATCATCTAACTAAAGATTACAAAAGCTGTTCATAATACAATACTGATTAACCATACTGCATAGTTTCATAAATAATTTACAGGCATTTATGGACTCATTTGCATAAGTACTACTAGTCTATTCCTTCCTATCATAAAAAGCTCAAAGTTGTTTTCATTTAACAATGCATTTCTTCCTTTGCTGTGTGTCAAAGTAAAAAAGAGCCATGGTAGATGTAGGAATGGGTGAGTGAAGGCAAATGAACATGTATTAACTATGTTCTACGGGCAGATATTGTGTTGCATGTACCTCTCTAACATCCTGCCAAGATATTAGACATTCCTGACTTCTCACAGCAATCTTCCTAGCCCGGCCTGAAGCATTCACAGCACTGGGTCTCAGCCAGGGTGCTTACTGCTGTCCCTGAACAAACATGTCTGCACAATTATGAGGCACATGCAATGTGCTTCAGCTATTCTTCTCTGCTTCTCTTAAAACATCACCCCACAACAATCACCCACACCGAGGTAGCCAACAACAGGAAGATTACCAGAAATATTTCTGAATTAGGAGTTTCAAAACTTGCTATTTTAAGTTACTATTAAATATCAAGTACCATACCAAATTCAATAAACCTGGCTCTTTTCCCCCTTTATGACCTTCCATAATTATAAGCATATGCATAAGCAAAACTGTGGTAGAATCTTAAGTGTTTTGTTTTGCCTTTTTTTTTTTTAATCCTCACCTGAAGACATTTTTCCATTTTTGTTCAGATAGAGTGGGAGGGGGAGAGAGAGATAGAGAGAAACATCGATGTGAAAGGGACACATCGAGTGGCCATTTTCCGCACAACCCCAACCGGGGCCAGGGACAAACTGCACCCGAGGTACGTGCCCTTAGCGGGAACCGATCCCAGGTCTCTCTGGACCGTGGGCCGACGCTCTAACCGCGGAGCCAAACTGGCCAGGGTCTTTTTTTTATTTTTTATTTTTTAAGAGATCATGTCTGTTAAAAGAAAAACCTCTCAAAATATTTTTAGGAATATGAAAAAGCAACTTACACTGTTAGTCTAATGCAATAGAATAGTGATAATTCCATTATTACAACTGCCCACATGAAATGTATGAAGAATCACTTCTTCCCTTCTTCCAAGGCTGACAATTTCTTAACAAAGCTTGATTGGTATTGGTTTGAAACATGAAATTGTTATTTCTATAAGTTAAAAACTGTAATACATGCAACTTTGTGTTATTCAAACTAATATATTCGGAAGCATTATTTTTTTAAAATAATTTTTTTATTGATTTTAGAGAGAGAGGAAGGGAAAGGGAAAGGGATAGAGATATAGATGAGAGGAAACATTGATTGGCTGTCCCCAGTGGGGACCGGGCCCACAACCTGGACATGTGCCCTGACCAGGAATCAAACCAGCGACCTCTTGGTGCATGGGTCAACGCTCAACTAGTCAGCCACACCAGCCAGGCTATTTTTTTTTACCACTAGGGATAGTTTGATCTTCAGCTTTGTTCCATTTTTCCATTTCTCAATGAAGGTTTTTGTTTTGAGATAATTATACACTTTTTTTTACTTTTTTTTCTTTTGAGACCTCATGCAGTAAGAAACAAGAAAGTAAGATCCCTTCATCTAGTGTCCCCAGTAGTAACATCTGGAAAACTACAATGTCCCAATTAGGAATTTAACATTGATATATTATGCAGATTTACCAGTTTTAGATGCATTTGTGTATGTGTGTGCATATTTAGATCTAAGCAATGTTATCACCTGTGTAGATTCATGTGACTGTGTAGATCCAGTCATGACAGAACATCATTACAAGGATCCCCTATGCTAGTTTTTATAGCCATAGCCACTCTTACCCTACCCCTTACTTTCCCTTCCCTTCCCCATCATCCCCAACTCCAAGAAACCATGAATCTGTTCTCTGCCTTAAAAGGGAAAATAAGTTTTACTCTGCCTCTGTGATTGTGAGAGAGAACCACAGACTTAGGATATACATACAATTGGGACTAGGAAGTATTGTTTTGAATTATTTTCATACCAATGGACTTAATTATATACACAAACAACATAGAACTATTTACAATGTTGATAAAACTGTAGAGCTGATTTACAAATTAAGCAAAATCTACACCAAAAACATTAAAACCAATCAGGCTAAATGAAAGGCTCACTGAACTTGAGTCTCTGCTTGCTGTGTGAATATGGCATTGTCAACTAGGAAACACAGCTCTTCAGGAGTTGAGCATGCCTTTTATAAGAAAGCAGAGGATGAGATATGACAGCCACTCCTTTCTCTCATCTCTTCCCCAAATAACCCCATGGCCCAGGACAGCGTGTCTTGGCAGGGGGAGAATTCAGTGAGGTGGCATCTGCTAATTCCCACTGACTTTGAACAGAAGATTTAAAACCAAGCCTCAGGTACAGAGTCAGGGCCATCATTTGGTAAAAAACAGCCTTCCACAGGGATGGGGGAGGAACAGCAGAGACTCTGGATTCACAGGTTTCACCTACCTTTGCCCAGATGGCAGCTGATAGTCCAAGAACAGGACTGATGGCCAAAATCACCAGGGTTAGCTCCCAACCACGTGTAAATCCTACTATAAAGCCAGTGAAAAACGTTGCTATTGACTGAAAGAATATTCCAATTTTGTCACCAATTCCTTCATTAATTTTGGAGACATCACTAAAACAACAGATAGTGTTAGAGAGAGACATCAGAGTTGTGAACACATTTTTTCTCCCAAATCCAGTGGTTTTTTTGTTTGTTTGAACGTGGGGTACACTAGTTTACATCTAGGATCTTGCTCAGCTCTATCCCCAGGAACTATCATGTTTTGCCCTACTGCACGCTCTCAGAGGACTTTTGTCCAGGAAGTGCAGTTCCTCATTCAGTGCTAGTCATGCAGGTCCCCTCACGTTCTGCCTCACATACGGGGAACAAAAAAGATACACAAGACATGGTCACTGCTCAGAAGGAATTTAGTCTCCTAATTACTTCTAAGTGATGTACTAATATCTCCTAACAGATCTCATGGCATCACTTTCAACTTGAATAAGAACCACATCGATTTCAACATAAAACCAGGTACTTACTCTGTGAGCCGAGTGTTAAGCTCCCCAACGTCATGCATATCAAACCAGCCTATCTCCTGTCTCATTATAGCATGAAAAAATTGTTTTCTAATTTTAAATATTTGTCTTCCAGCTGCCAGGCACCAGAATGAAACTTGAATGTATGCAGCAACCAGCACACCAGCACCGATTCCACTGTAATAATAGGCATACCTGAAAAACAACAACAATACTGCATATACTGTTTTCTAAGTCATGCATCTTCCCCAAACACACCACTCATTTTTACTTTTTCAGCTATCTGGCTATCTTGCTGTTCTTAACAAATAAGAAGGGGCTATAATGAGTAGTGTTGATGGCTGACATCCAACTATGTCTGTGCCAATACAATGTGGGTTGGTTGAGAGTGCTTTCTGCTTTGTCTCCATTTCCAGCTCTTCAACTTACCTAATATGTCATCTTAGGCAAGCTGCTTAGCCTTTCTAAGCCTCAGTATCCTAACTGGTAAAATGGAAATAAGAATAGTAACACAGTAATGCATGTAATACCCCTGGGCCAGAGCCAGGCACACAGTAAGCATAAAGAGAATGCCAGTTATTGTGAAAAACTTGTGGTGCCTTGGAGCATCCCACATCGGATGAGTTCTACCGTGGTTGTCCTGTGTGCTTGTATTACCTCAGTGTCACTTGATGAGCATGTTGAGGTGGTGTTTTTTGCACACTGGAAAATAGAAAGAAGTGACAGAACTTGCCAGAAAGTGAAACCAAGGCATGTAAATGGTCCCCTGACCTTTTCACTATTAACCTTGCAGAGCTGGGATGCCAAGAGACAACTGAACATAAGAAGCATTTTTATATCATTTGCCCAACTGGCCAACATGAGTTATCCTAACATGCTTAATGAATCAAACGGTAGTCTTTCCAGTTTAAACTCTAACAATAAAAAACATGAGCATCTATATTCTAAAGCCAGACCCTTGATCATCTAGAAATGTTGAATTTATGTTTCCTCACTCTGAGTGTTCCTTTTTAAGAATGCAAACAACTCTTGGGTATTATTAAACAATTTTTAAGTTAAAGACAAAGATTCTAAAATTAAATACATTAATATTCCCATTTTTTATAAGTTCATTACTTGCTATCTTCAAATAAATATGTTTGTATGAACCATACAAAAGCTATAAAAATGGTTAGATAATAACCAGATAGTCTCTGAGCTTACTATTCATGACTCAGCAGAAATCCTAGTAAACATCTTCCTAGAGCTACACCTTGTCATTTACAATGTTTATCGGGAAAGATGTAATTCAAATATTAAATTTTAATTACTAGATAACTCAGTAATTAATTATTATCCAAGTGTTAACAATCTAGCAAGGCATAGCTAAAAAGAAATCCTGTTTAACAAGTAGAATTCATGCTTTGAAAATCAATTAACATATTTTTAACCCTCAGTCTATGATTACTCAAACAAAATATATTATTTAAGCATTTACAAGATGATTATAGAAGTCTTATTTTCCCCAATATTAAAATTTAAAAGAAGAATTTCTAAATGAATATTGGAAGTACTTGCTTCTCATCTTTCAAAAAATGATCAAGTGTCTCTATTATCTTTAAATCTACCAGATCATTTATAGGATAATGCTGAATTATTATCTTGTGATTCATCAATTCATACCTTTGGACATCTTTTATAACCTGTTCTTGGGTACAAACTTCAAGATATGTCAGTCATTAACGAAAGCTTCCCTGAGGTGAGTTAAGGTTAGAGTGATTCTATTTATTCTGGCATGTTTTGTTTCATTGTTTAGAACTACATGCTGTGTTTAAAAAATTCTGTAGGGCTAATCTCATTATCGTATCATTACTGAAAACATCAGGAAGCAAACTAATAATTACAAAGCCATTGAACATAATGTGATTCTTAATTAATTCTACATTTTTTAAAGGGCCACTTTTAAATCCAGTTTCCCTGTATATGATATTTACTAATACATGCATAAATCTGATCTAGACTTAACCCAATTTAAGTACATCATATGTGGCAAATTATTTTCTTTATAATTTTCTTCTACAATTTCTTTACAATATCCTCCTAGAAAACTAACGATGGTATTGTTCTCCTCAAAACTTTAAATCTTTATTATGTGCAAAATTTTAAACATCGTTACAATCAATCTAGATACAGAAAAGATTAACAATAGTAAGAAAAATGTCAAATTACGTGGTCATCTCCTCCTCCAGCAGTTTGTAGGGATTTATGTCGATGATTGCACCTAGATCACCACACACAAAAAACAGACACCATTATGTCTCTTTGTTCTCCATTATAGACAAGTATACAAAAATAAATCACATTTGTCTCACTTAACAATTTACACAAAAATACCTCCAATTGATTCAGTTTTAATTGTACATAAACATTCCCCCTTCAAATCCTTCACTGCTGGCCCTAGGCGGCCAACTACACACACATGAAGTTCAATGAAACTTATTTGTAAGAAGAAACCCACATTTACTATGAAGCAGTCTGTCAGCAGGAGCATCAGTATCCTTGAATTAAAATATTTTGTGAAATATTACTCAAAGATGACAGAGAAAAATCTTTTCTAGGGTCTCTGACCTAAAGCACTTAGTATTTAAAATCTAACACTGTATTTTTCCAGTTTTTCTTTTTATTTAAAATAAATAAATTCAAAGAATAGTGTAATAAATACCAGTGAGTCTATCACATAATATTAGCAAGTTAATATTGGACAAAGTACATTAAAATTTTAATACTCCTCCTCCACCAATACACACAATAATTACTATATTTTGTTGTATATCTTTTCATGTTTTTTCTGTAAACAAATACATGTACATTTCTGGATCATTGGGAAGGCTCATCTTTAATCTTGTAACCATTTAAAAAGTTATAGTATAATATGAGAGGCCTAGTTCCGATGAGCCTGATTTTGACAGGTGTGGGAAAGGGAAGAAAAACTTAATCCACAGCAAGTTTAAAGAATGAGTAAGCCAGTTCAGCTGGGTGTGTTTGTATTGTGAGGATGGGAAGAGGTGGATAGGTAGCTAGAAAGATAATCTGGGCCCCACAGATATGGTGTATAAAAAGTAGTAGTCATTTAGCAGTTGAGCAGAAAAAAACAAAAAACACATAACCAGAGGTGTGGTTTAGGATGACTGAGCTGCCAGCTAAGTATAAGATGAACTAAAACAAGGAGTGACTGAGAGACTTGAGCTACTGCAATTATGTAAGGAAAAAGAATTTAAGTGAGACTAGAAAAGACAGACAGTATCCATAAGATTTAGAGAGGGAGAAGTTACAGGTCCTAGCACCTGATAGAACAGAAGTTGAGAGTAAAAAGAAAAACAGTCAAGACTTCAAGTGTGAGCATCTGGAGAGTGGTAGTGTCTTGGGGGGAAAGAAGTCAGTCCAAAGAGCAGGTCTGGTCAGATGTTAGTTCAGTTTTGAAGACTTTTATTCTGTGGTACCTGGGACATTCAATTGAAGATGGCCAATAAGTACTCAGACTGTAGCTCTGGAGAGAGTTCAGGTCTGAAGACTTAGGAGTCATGTGTTAGTGGCCACATAGCTAAATTCAGGAAAGAAAAACAAAACAAAACAAAAAAACAAACAAACATCTCTCCTTACCTGTGAGGACAGAATGGCAGGTTAGGAGAAAAGGGCAACCAAGCACAGAACCTCGGGAAGACTACACTTAGGGGTAATAGAGAAAGTAAGGAAGTAATAGAGATGCAGAGACACAGCAAACGTGGCAAAGAAACTTGACTGCTTCATGTTATGTCAATGCAATAACTGTCCAGATTGATTTTTTTTTTTTCTTTATCAGTTATAAGATTGCTTCTGCTCCAAAAATAAAACAAGATGTTAAGTAGCTGGGTAAGGATTTTTCTTTTAATCAGCCCTGAAAGATCTTTCATTAGAAATGTTCTATCTTGCCCTGACCGGTTTTGCTCAGTGGTTAGAGCATCACCCTGTGGCCCAGAGAGACTCGGGTTCAGTTCCTGCTAAGGACATGTACCTCGGTTGCAGTTTGTCCCTGGCCGGCCCTGGTTGGGTCGTGCGGGAGGCAGCCACTCGATGTGTCCCTCTCACATTGTTGTTTCTCTCTCTCTCTCTCCCTCCCACTCTATCTGAAAAAAAAAGAAAAAAGAAAAGAAATATTCTATCTTTTTTTTATCCTCACCCGAGGACACTTTTCCATTTTTTGTACAGATAGAGTGGGAGGGAGAGGAAGAGAGAGAGAGAGAAACATCGACGTGAAAGGGACACATCGAGTGGCTGCCACCCGCACGACCAACCAGGGCCGGGGACAAACTGCAACCGAGGTACATGCCCTTAGCGGGAACCGAACCCGGGTCTCTCCAGACCGCAGGCCGATGCTCTAACCGCTGAGCCAAACTGGCCAGGGCAGAAATATTCTATCTTATCTAGCTAGCCAGGAAATGTTTCTAAATGGTATTAATTGTCACTAGTGTGTATCACTACCAAGTCAGCACTTGTTATTTGTTGATTTATTGATGGCAACTATTCTGACAAGTCTGAGGTGATATCTCATTATGGTTTTAATTTGCATTGCCCTGATGATTAGTGACGTTGAGCATCTTTTCGTATGTCTGTTGGTTTTGTATATTTTCTCCTTGGAGAAATGCTTGTTAAGGTTCTCTGCCCATTTATTTAATTGGATTGTTTAGGGGTTTTTTGGTGTTAAGTTGTATAAATTTCTAATATATTTTGGATAGCAACCCTTCATTGAATGTATCATTGGCGAATATTTTCTGCCAATCAGCAGGTTGTCTTTTTAATTGTCGATGGTTTCCTTTGCTGTGAAAAAACTATTTAGTTTGATGTAGTCACATTTGTTTATTTTTTGTTTCCCTTACCCAAGGAGACGTATCTAAAAAGATACTGCTAAGAGTGATGTCTAAGAGTTTATTGCTATGTTTTCTTCTAGGAGTTTTATGGTTTCAGGTCTTAGATTTAAGTCTTTAATCCATTTTGCATTTGTTTTTGTATAGGGTGTAAGAAAGCAATACAAATTCCTTTTTTTTGTTTACACGTATAGTCGTCCCTCACCACTTCGCGCTTTGACTTTCACGACTTTGCTCTATCGCGGTTTTTTTCAAGTATAGTGTAGCGTAGTGTAGCGTAGTATAGTCTAATATTTGAAAAAACCACGATAGAGTGAACCTGTGAAAGTTGAAGCATGAAGTGGTGAGGGATGACTGTATATAAAGAAAGAATCCTGCTTTGTGGAAATTCATTTATTGCGGTAGAGTCTGGAACTAATTAACTGCGATAAATGAGGGCCAACTGTATCTCTCCAGTTTTCTCACCACCACTTATTTACTTATTTTACATTTGCAGTTTACATCCAATATTATTCTGTGTTGGTTTCACATGTACAGCATAGTGGTTTTAACTACTAAATCAATCATTTTACTGATTTCCTAATTAGTAAAACAAGATTATATTATTAAGATGGTTTTCAAATCATCTTCCACGGAGCCTTTGTACTAAGAACTGTTCTGGATGGTGGGGATACATATTTTTAATATTTTTTCTAATATTATTGGTTTCAGACCCCAAACCTCAAGGTACCATTGCTGAAATGTCTAAAATAGTTTTTCTCAGGAACTTCTGCCCCACCCCCTTATGCTTTTCTGCCCATGTGAGAAACTAATAAACATGTAAACCAATTAATTAACAAGTCAATTTTAGAGTAATAACTCTTAATAAGTAAATCAAGCATCAATGCTATAGTGACTCTGGGATAGTTTGGGGGCAAAAGGTCTTTCAGAGGAAGAAGTGAATGATAAGAAGCCATTAATTACTGTGAGACAGGGCAGGTTCTGCATGGACCCAAGATAGGAAGGAGAAGGGAGTGTTCATGGAATAGAAAGGAGGCCAGTGTGGGTGGGCTGTACTGAGTATGTATTAAACCATAAGATTGACAGGACAGGAAGGGGGCCAGATCATGTGGGCCACACAGGCCAAAGTAAGGAATTTGTACTGATTACATACTATGAAGTATGACCTGGCTTATGTTTGTAAATGCTCAGTGGGACAGTGTGTGGAAAATTGGATACAGGTTTGCAAAAGTGGAAGCAGAGAGGAGAGTTAGGAAATTAGAGCTGTGTAGGCAAGATGTGAAGATGGCCCTAGGCACAGGTGTAGCGGGGATACATGTGGTCCCTAGATGCGGAGTAACCTTGGCATTGCCAGGTGGCAGGAGAGAACACTATCAGGGCTCCCCTCTACCACTTTCAACCAAGGAAGCCTCCTTTTCAGTTATTTTACCTGGTGAGCTTCCATGACAGATGTTATTTACATAAAGTGGTTCTCTGATTAAGGAAGAGTTAGACCCTGGCCGGTTTGGCTCAGCGGTTAGAGCGTCGGCCTGCGGTCCCGAGAGACCCGGGTTCGGTTCCCGCTAAGGGCGCGTAACTCGGCTGCAGTTTGTCCCCGGCTCTGGTCAGTCGTGCGGGTGGCAGCCACTCGATGTGTCCCTTCACGTCGATGTTTCTCTCTCTCTGTTCCTCTCTCCTCCTCCTACTCTACCTGAACAAAAAATGGAAAAATGTCCTCGGGTGAGGATAAAAAAAAAAAAAAAAAAAAAAAAGGAAGAGTTAGTAAACCCCTGACTTTTTGATCCACAAGGTCCGTTCTAACTCAGTAACACCATGATTTCAATTTTTCCATGTTCTTGTGCGGGAATTTAGCCCTTCTGCCTAGATGACCAATCACTGTGGCTTTTGCTCAGGAAAATGCCTGCCACTCAATGGGGCTGGGCCTATTGCAGGTGACAAAGATGACTGCAGCAGCCTCGATCTCCTCATCTGTGGCTTCACAACTCTGGCCTAGAGAACTGTGCCCCAAGGCTCACTTACCTGACCTACTAACAAGCAAATCTACCTAAGCCAGGATGGCATCTCAGGGAGAGGAAAGACCAAGTGAAAATGCTGATGTTTGCTACAATTTTAGGCAGAGTTTGAAACCATTGGTAGAGCAGGATTCCTGGCCCAGGAACTCAGGTCAGTCACCTAGCAAGCGATTCCATTCTGGCCACATTGTTTCATGTCCCCAAGCAATGGTTTCTACATCTATAAAATTATGAATTTGGGCCAGATAATTTGTAGGCTCTTTTTTACCTACAAAATTCTATAATTCAGACTTTTATTATTCATCCCACTTTTAAACACCTAGAATGGGTCAGGTACTGGCTGCCTATCTTTTTTTAAATTTTTAATTTTATGTTTTTGTAAGATATTGTAGAGATTACATTGTAACTGATTTACTTCTGGGCTGAAAAAGCAACAGGAAAAAAAAAGCTTACTATGTTACACTAATTCTAGAAAAATTAGCCATATTTTAAGTTGTAACTGAAACTTCAACAATAAACTGCCATGCTAAACAATATACTTGTAAGTCTACTGCTATTGTCAGGTACTCAATCTTGCAGGGATCCATCTCTAAGAATTTTTCCAATGAAGTGGCCAGCAGCAGAGGAAAGCCTTGACCAAGGAAAAAGAAAACAGATTCATCATGGAAATTTTAAGATGTACTTAGAACTGAAATATTAGCACTCTAGTTTGGAGCCTACTCGTAATGCTGGCCTTGAGGGCACAGATGCCGATGTCTTCTTTGTTTACAACACAAAGTCTTAAAATACACATTGGCGATCTACACTTGATCTAAGCACTCATAGTGTAAGCAGCAAAATATTGATGCTATCTTAAGAAATGGCATTTTACAAATAGTATTCATGTTCCTCATATAAGTTGTTGACCAGTAAGAGTAGGAAATGTAAGAATAATAATAAATATAAAACTAAATTATTTCCACTTTTTCCCTTTTTATCCGAATGATTAACTCATATTAAAATTTGAGTGTCTCATTTTCTCCTTTCCTCAGCCCACAGTTTGATAGAAGACTGAACAGAAACAACTATAATACAGTTATGGAGAAAGAGAAAGGCCATTGATGTGGATGTACCATAAATTGAATCATTAGAGACAATAAATAATCAAGAACTTACATAAAGAGTATCTGATACCTAACCAAAATGAGACTTGGCAAATCTCCCCCACATCTATTTCTGGGTTAGCATGTTATCTTCAGTGTCTTCCTTTCTGGATGTCCCTCTGTTTCCTTTAGTGTACAGACTTGGGGCCAGTCTACATGGGTTCAAATACTGACTGACTGCTAACTTTGTGACCTCAGGCAATTTAAATTTACTCAACCCTCTGGGCCTGGTTTCCTCCTCTATACAGCATAGATAATAGTATCAAACTCAGGTGCATGAAAAGAATAAAGGAATTAATAGATGTAAAACACTAAGAACAGTGCTCAGCCCATATTTAATGCTCAGTAAATGTTAGCTTTAAGCCCTGGCCGGTTTGGCTCAGCGGTTGGAGCGTCGGCCTGCGGTCCAGAGAGACCCGGGTTCGGTTCCTACTAAGGGCACGTACCTCGGTTGCAGTTTGTCCCCGGCCCTGGTTGGTCGTGCGGGTGGCAGCCACTCGATGTGTCCCTTCATGTCGATGTTTCTCTCTCTCTCTCTTCCTCTCTCTCCCTCCCGCTCTATCTGAACAAAAAATGGAAAAATGTCCTCAGGTGAGGATAAAAAAAAAAAAAAAAAATGTTAGCTTTAAGACTCATTAACAATTGAGTTTTCCCTCAAGGCTTAGGGCTCCCATTCCTTCTACTTTTCTCTACAGTCTATCCCAGGAGATTTAATATCCCTTCAACTCAAATATTGCCAAATCTCTAACCCTACTCTTTTTTTTTTTAAATGTTTTTATTGATTTTTTAGAGAGAGACAGAAACATCTGATGTGATAGAGAAACATCGATTGGCTACCTCCTATACGCCCCCTACACCTGGGCATGTGCCCCAACTGGGAATCGAACCAGGACCTCTCGGTCCACTGAGCCACACAGGCCGGGCTCTAGTCCTGCTCTTTATACCAAGATTCAGTCTCATTTCTTCATCTGCCTGAATGCCACTTACACTTATATCCAATCTGTCACCTTCAACACAAAATGCCTAAAATCACAATCACCTTTATCTTGGCTGATTTCCAGATAGTGGATGGTCTCAAGAAGAAAATGAGAATGCTACAGAAATTCAGCAGTAGTCAATCTTTGTTCACCCAAGTCATCAGAGATTTTAAGGTCAAGGAAAATGGTAGCAACAAGATGGAGATAGTTGGGAGTCAAGTATCAGAAAATCAGGTCGACAACAAAAGGAGCAGCAAAAAGGCCGGTATATAATATTCAGAGTGAGACATCAGAGAAAGCTAAGGAGGGGTCCACTGAACAGCAGAAAAGGATCTATTCTCAAAAAGATTTTAGAGCTGTCTAGTTAAATCCTATGTTTAACTTAAAACTCCCAGACTTTCACGAGCCTTAGCAAATGCAAAACTCCTTAAGGAAGGAATAGTTATTGTCCAATAGGGAGGCTCTGGTACTTAGTCTACCCCCATGGAAAAGTTATGAGATTCCACCTGGGGAAGGTCAAGAAGAAAAAGAGTCTGAGAGTGTCTGGGACCCCAGTAGCCTGGTTCTCCCTCCAGAAGCATCAGAGAATTCATTTGCCTTCATCCCTAGGACCAGTATCAAAATCTCTGATGCTACCCCACTTTTGGTGAATGGTATAAAAGAAAAGTGCCAATTCAAAGGTGGCACAACTCTTTTGGCAGGTCCCTTTGACTTCTATGAAGGGATGTAATAAATGCATAAGGATTTTACGTAGCTCAAACATACAATAAAATGTGGGGGCCTAACTCATTACCTTCATTCACAGAATTGAAGTAGTCCTGCCTTAGGGTAAACAGTGCGCTCTCCAGGATCACAAAGAAGGGGTTCTTGGATCCACAGACAGGTATCAAAGGATCCATAAATACCCCAAATTATTTAAAATATTTATGTGCTTGTTTCCGGGGAAAGGATTCATGGCATTCATCAGAGACTTAGAGACTGAAAAGTTGAAGGGTCATTGTAAAAGCTACATGGTATCACTGTATTCTCAAGTGTATTTTCAAACAGGCATTTTCAACATTTCTACCACTTGAGTGCACACCAGGTTTTAAGTCTTTGGGTAGCTTAGTCTAAATCAGTCTACACTTGACCAAAGTTGATGTAGAAGCCCAGAGCTATCTATCAGCCCCTCCTCAATCAAGTGTGAGTGTGAGAGAGTGTATCTGTTGACACCCAAAGTATTCGAAGTCCTTTCACTTTCCCATTCTCTGAGAGCAGCGATTTTCAACCTTTTTCATCTAATTGCTCACAAACTATTAAAATTCTGAAGCACATCAAAAAATATACTTTTGCCAATCTGACCCAAGAAAAGGTATAATTTTGATTGATTTACAAAAAAAGAAATAATAATTACCTACCCTTTTGTTCAAAAGTGACATCTTAAAAAATCAGGTGCCTATACTTGTATATAAGAATTTTTGGTACCAAGAATTAATCACTCAGATGAAACCTTATTATGTGATGTGACCAATAAGAAGCAACTCTGTTATATGACCTATATATTTACAGTTCAGGGTATTCACACTAGATGGCTATTGTGTTGGCTAGTGTCATTTTTCTTTTTTTAATCCTCACCCAAGGACACTTTTCCAGTTTTTGTTCAAATAGAGTGGGAGGGAGGGAGGGAGAAAGAGAAACATCGACGTGAAAGGAACACATCGAGTGGTTGCCACCCGCACGACCCAACCAGGGCCGGGGTCAAACTGCAACAGAGGTACGTGCCCTTAGCGGGAACCGAACCCGGGTCTCTCTGGACCGCAGGCTGATGCTCTAACCACTGAGCCAACTGGCCAGGGCTGGTGTAATTTTTTTTTAATTGATTTTTTTTTTTAAGAGAGACAGGAAAGGAGAGATAGAAACATTGATATGAGAGAGAAACATTGATCGGCTGCCTCCTCCTACTGGGGATCGAGCCTACAACCCTAGCATGTGCCCTGACCAGGAATCAAACCTGGACCTCTCAGTCCAAGGGCCAATACCCAATCCACTGAGCCACACTGCTAGGCTGTCATTTTTTAATTTAACAATCTAAGGAAAAAGAGGTCAGTTCCCCTGATTAAAAGATCAGGTATTTCATGTTTTAAAAATTCTTGTGGGACACTGACTGAAAATCACTATCCTAGAGGATTGTCTTAGATCTCCTTTCTTTATCAGCTAAATGTCTTACTTCCTACTTCAATGAGCAAAGTAAAGTAATCAAAAGCAAATGTTTGCAAATTCTCACCTCCTCACCTACCCAGCTTTGGGCATTGGCACTCAAATATTCTCTCTTCCTACCTGTTATTGTAGATGAACTATCTGTGCTCCTATTTAAAGCAAATATTTCTTCTTGAGCATTAGATCCTATTCTTTTTTATGGATATAACTAAAGCAAGCAAACCTCTTCCTTCTCTCTCAAAGCATCACCTTCTCTTTTGGATCATTTCCATTAGCACACAAACAAGCTATTATCTCTCCCATCTCTCTCTCTCACACACACACACACACACACACACACACACACACACACACCTTCTTTTAGCCCCATTTCTTCATTTTAGCATCTGTTTCCAAGGACCCCAACCTGTGACAATGTTCAAAATTAAAGTTCTGATATTTACTGCCCAAACCTACTCTCCCCTCCACCTTCTTCATCTTAGTTGATGGTAACTACATTCAGTTTCTCAGGCTCTAAACTTTATAATCATCCTGGACTCCTGTCTCTTACATCCATATCCAATATGTCAGCGAGTTTGACTGATTTTCTAATTATCATTCAAGGTCCAGAATAGATTCCTATACCTCTTTCTGAAACTTCCTGGCATATTTCTGACTTCATAGAACTCTCTCTTTTTCTACATAGTTCTGCCAGCACTTCCAATGTGCATTCTAATGCTCGTGAATATTATCTATCAAAATCATTATAAATATGAAGTATAGCTCAGACCCCATCACCTCCAAACACACTGAACACACTAGTGCACATTTAGCAATATCACTCCAAGTGATAGATTTTTCTCCAAGCTTCCAATAAAACCAGTACCACAAACAATACTTACTTTGATTAGTTATGTTTGCAAAAGTTGTGTTTTCAATAGTTACATTTCCAACATTTCCTGCATTTGCAAAGCTATCGGTCATGTTTCCAAAAATCAGCATCATGAGGGGGAGTGCAGCTCCGTGGATGACAGCAGCCACAGTCCCCAGCAACATATATAATCTATCAAGCCAATTTGAATAGCGAAACTAAAAAAGAGAGAAAATTGAAGAATAGGGACAATTAGCAGTTTCATGATGGTTTGCTTTACTTTCCATAATACCCCAAATCCAAATGTTTTTTCATACTACGACTGCTACCACCCTGGTCCAAGTCAAACTATTGCAGTAGCCTAATTAGAAATAGGCATTTGATTCTTCTATTGAGTTCTGACCTACTTCTTCATATTGAATTCAGTATGTCTTCTTTTCTTTTTTTTTTTTTCCATTTTTTTTTGTTCAGGTAGAGTGGGAGGGTGAGAGAGGAACAGAGAGAGAGAGAAACATCGACGTGAAAGGGACACATCGAGTGGCTACCACCCGCACGACTGACCAGAGCCGGGGACAAACTGCAACCGAGGTACATGCCCTTAGCGGGAACCGAACCCGGGTCTCTCAGGACCGCAGGCCGACGCTCTAACCGCTGAGCCAAACCGGCCAGGGCAGTATGTCTTCTTTTCTTATGCATGAGGTTTGATGAGAGGGATGAGACATTCTTCTAGGGAGTTGTAAAAGTATTCAATGGTACAGTAATAGAAATATAGTATTTGTTGCTCTGATTTCCAAGAATAGAAGCCAGTTTTAACTCCAAATTTTTTAGTCAAGAAAAACCTTGATTGCCTAAGGTCACTCTGAGGACCCCATTTAGCAAACGTGTTTTGTTGCTCTAAGAAAGTGGGTTGGGTCACAGATCTGCTGCATAATAGCATTAGCATATATGTAACATAAATTAGGCCTCAATACTGAGAAGGAAGAGGAAACTAATGAATTAAGATGCATGCTTGTCAAAAACAGATTTCCTGAGAAGACAGAATATGGCCATAATGACTGACAAGTGTAGAACTGCACAATTTCTTTAATTGTAGGTCAGACACAAAAAAAGAAAGAAAGAAAGAAAGAAAGAAAGAAAGAAAGAAAGAAAGAAAGAAAGAAAGAAAGAAAGAAAGACAGACAGACAGACAGACTGCTCTGGATCTAAAAGAGTGACAAAAAGAGGGAATGGGCTTGGGGCTCTTTGAAAGGCCCACTTGCAAAACAATCAATATTTTGCCCATATAATTTAAGAAACTAGTTAAGGACCTAAAGAAAACAAAAACAGAAACAAGATGAAGCCAGCTGTGGGTGTTTGTGGTAGGTGGTTGTTGTATGCATGCAAGATGTAGATACAGTCAGCAGTTTGTAGGGAGGAAACTGGGTAAGAGGTCATAGGTCTAACCAGGTCATAGAAACCAAAAGAAAGATCAAGATCAAGATAAAAGACACAGCAGCAGAAAGTAAAATTTTAGAACAGAAAAACAAAGAACTAGAAACCAACCCTAAAGTTAGCTAACAAGGAACTTACAGTAGCAAGAAATAGGAATAAGTATTGAAGTGACAAGTGGAGAAATAAAGAGCAGAACAGTTCTTGGAGGTAGTGAATGACAGTCCACAAAGCAGAAAAAAAAAGCAAAACTGAGACATAAAATCAGTGAAAATTGAAGTCCAGTCTAAGAATATCTAATATATACTTAGGTATTCACATTTAAAATTCTTCTAGCTCTTAAAAATGTAATTGAGTGAGATTAAGTTTGGGTTAATAACATATACTCTACATAACCTAAAAACATCATCTGATTTACAAATTAAACCTTTTAAGGGAGATTATTTTGGGCATTTGTCTTCCATATTTCATTGAAACATGGGCTACATTTTACCATTATTTACTTTGTCTTAACTAAGCATTCATCCACCTCCTAAAAAAAATATACATACACACACACACAAACAAGGGGGAAGAAATGGGTAGAAATCACTCATCTTCTCTCAAAGACTTTATTAAAGTGGACAAATACTAAATTACTTCAGTAGAGGAACAGAAGATAGTTGACATGCAAGAATTTCTCTCATCAATACCCCCAAAAGATATTTTACCTCCAAAACTAATCACTATCTATAATAAAAACAAGCAGGCTATGAATATAAACATTTACTAAATGCCTACTCAATGACTAAGCAAAAGCCAGAGATAAATATAGAAAAGATAGAACTCTTGCCTTCGGAGTTTAAACAGAAGGAGGAAAGCAAAGAAAAAAGTAAACACAATATATATTGCACATGGTCAGACAGCATGGTGTACCGAGCAGAGCAGACACAAAATTGAGCAAATGGTCATTCCTCCTTTGTGGAAAAGTTACTCCCTCCCAGCTCTGAAAGTTTAGCAAGTGTGTAAAAGCAAGAAGGAAGGCATTCCAGCCAGAAAGAACAGCAAGCAGAGCAGTAACAATGACAACATGCTTAGAGAGGATTGTGGTCTCCCAAACCTGGGGTGTAAGGTGTAGAAGCAGCAAGAAAAAGCTGACCAAGAATTAGGACAAATCAGAAGAGGCAGGGTTTAGGGGGAAAGAAGGCAGAGAAATCTCAGTTAGCTGTGTTTGATGGTCTATCCTGGAAGTTCTGTCCTGCAAGGATGATGGGGAGAATTCAGAGTTTGAGGTGCAGTTTTGTGACACTACCACATGTATGGAACAGACGGCAAGGGAGTAGACAAAATCAGCCAGGAAGAGAAAAGAGTTAACAGGATTAAGAGTAACTTGTAGATGAAATAAGAGAGAGAGCATGATGAATGTTCTTTTGATGATCTTGAGAAAAAAGAAAGAAGAAAGAGGACAGTTACGAGAGGGAGCTGCAATGTCCAAGGATAACTGTTTAATTTAAGTATTACTATATTTATAGGTAAAAAATCACCTAAGAGATGGTGAAAATATAGAAAGGAAGCTGAGATGAAGTAATGTCCTAGAGACATTTATTTTGTTAAATATAATCACTGTATTATGTTTTATAGGAAAATGTCTTGTATGACATTTTTTTAGAGCTATAAACTGAGGTAGTTACATATGAAATATCATGAAATCTATAAATTCCGGTGAAATGTTAACAATTTTTAGATGTACACAATTGGCATATGAGCGGTAATTTATTCCTCTAGTTTCCATATGTTTGGAAATTTTCAGAATAAGACTTGGTAAAGGGAGGATGGTTCTCAAACAGGCAAAGGTGTATCTCTTCATCTCAAGCCAGAAGGGACAAGCTAAGAAGGAGCACAGATACAAACAAGTTTCCAAGAATTTTAGAAATTTTGAACTAAGATAAAAGATTTCAAAACCTCATATTTATTTGTTACTTGAGGCAAAACTGGTTTCTGGAGAGAAAGTGGTGACATTTAAGGAAAGTGGTAACATAATGCTAAGTAGGACAAAAGCCTCAGTGGAATGTACTAGCTCTATCACTTACAGTGAAGGAGACTTTGAAGAAAAAAACCAGAAACTCTTAATAACCTTCAGCCTCAGTTTCTACATTTGAGGACAATATTTATATGCACAGTAAGCCTCACATAGTTGTTATAAGGATAAAAATAGGACTTAATAAAAGGAACTTTAATTAGGCATATAACATAATAACATGCAATATAAGCAAGTATTATTATTGGTTTTAGAAATGTAAAATTAATAAGACTTTTCAGGAGCTTACAGTGAAGGAGCAGTAGACAAAAAAGATTTAACACATCAGGTAAAAATTAAGACAGATGTATAATCTAATTATAATCAGAGCCCTTTAAATACAAGGAAATGAAAAATGTTGTTAGATGATGATCAGAAAGAGAGAGGGACTGAACCAGAACCATTGGGAAGGAAGGTTGATTAGTACTGAAAGACAAGAGTTGGGCTTTCCAAGGCAAAACCAAAAAAAAGGAAGTACTGGGAGGAGAGTAGTTTAGGTAATATTCAGCAGCCTAAATGGTGAATATGACCTTACCATGTGCTTAGGTTGGAGAGTGTGAATCCATTCATTCATTCACTCACTCATTTAACATTGAAAATGTATTTATTAAGCACCTAATAAGAGTCATGTTTGGTTCTAGGTACCAGCAACCACAGTGAATAAGACAAGATACCTACTCTCATAAACCTTGCATTCTAGTGCAAATAGTAAAATGTCCAAGTACCTATTTAAAGTTCTAGGCACTGTTCTAGGCACTTGGAGTGTATCAATGAAGAACACAGACAAAATCCCTGCCCTCATGGAGCTTGGCCCACAGTGACAGGCAAGGTCAGAGCGGATGATCAGGAACACCTCTCTGAGAAGGTAACATCTGAGCTGAGACCTCAGTGACAGGAAGGATATGGTTTGTCGTGTGACAATCTGGAGACAGCATTTCAGGCAGGAAGAGCAGTGCAAAGCTTTGTCCTGGAATGAATATAAGTTTGGTGTGTCTTAAGGACCAAACAGAATTACCACTGTGGCAAGAGCAGAGTGAAGGAGAAGAGTCCATAGTGAAGTCAGAGATGAGACAGAGGTCAGATGAAGGGCCTTTTATAGCCAGAGGAGAGAGTTTGAGTTCTATTCTAAACTTCCCATCTAAATGTAAAGGAAAGGCATTAGAGCGTTTCAAGGATGGAACTGAGGTGATTTGATGTGGCTACTATGGAGGAAATAGTTTTTAGAAGAGCACAAATGGAGGAGAGGAGGCTAGCAATAAAGACAGCAGTTAAGCCCGGCCATTATAGCTCAGTGGGTAAGCGTCGACCCATGCACCAAGAGGTCCCCGGTTTGATTCCTGGTCAGGGCACATGCCCAGGTTGTGGGCCGAATCCCCAGTGGGGACCATGCAGGAAGCGGCCAATCAGTGTTCTCTCTCATAGATGTTTCTATCTCTCTCTCTCTCTCCCTTATTCTCTCTCTAACAAATCAAGAAAGAAAGAAAGAAAAAAGACAGTGGTTAAGAGAGCAAAGTCTTGACCAGGTGTGGAGGGTGGAATAATGCCCTCCTTCCCCCAAACATGTCCACATCCTCAACCTAGGAACCTGTGAATAAGTTTCCTTACATGGTGAAAGGGACTTTGCAGACGTTAAGGATCATGAAATGGGGAGATTACCTTGGAATATCCAAGTAGGACTAATGCAATCACAAGGGTCCTTATAAGGGGGAGCCACGGGGATCAAAGTCAAGAGAA